GAGTCATCAGGAAAGCCCTGCGATCTGTTCCCCCTATTTCTAGCACTTGTTTTCCCTATAAGTAGTACTCGTCCGGCGAGTACGTCCAAAGATTATTGTCTGTGTCTTTTGTGAATGAAGAACTTCCGGCAGTTTTCGGCCATTAGTCTTAATACACGCATGGAAATGAACAGAAATTTGCCCAATAAAAGTTCGATGCCATAAATTAAGTGGCGAATGCCATTGCCATCCTTGGGTTGGCGCATCCTGCGCCATGGCCGGGCGCCAGCTGCCACACACAGCGAAAGGAAGAGGAGTGTGAAGCAGTGTGGACGGTGTCCTGTTGTTGACCAGGAGAAAGGACATGAACGTGGACACACCGTACCGGAGACCCAAAGGCGAGATATGCGATCAGTAAATACGTTTCCGTTCCGTTTGCTAATAAACTTCCTCTTCAGCTTTAATTCTTAAATGGTCGCCAGATGGTGATGGATGCTACTCCTCTGCCCCTCCCAAAAAAAGAAAAAGAAAAACAGGAGATAGAAGGCAGGGCGGGCTGGGCCGTGGGCTGTGGGGTTGGGGGCATAGTCATTACTCTCAGCTGGTGCCGTGCTGGGTGTGAGTGTGCTGTAAACTCGCAACACTTTGATGTTTTCAGAAATTATTTCATTTTCTATATCCTCCACACTCTGGATGCTGCAGGACGCAGGACTGGTACTGGTACTGGTCCTGGGACAGGACGCGGACTTTAGATTTATGGCCGGGAGCCAGACAAAGTGTCTGCGGTTCGGTCAGAGCCTTCAAGGCGACGCCGACGACGACGACGATGACGACGAATTCTGCGGGCTTTTGTGTGTATCGTTCGGCGCTCATCTCGGATGCATCCTGTGCGCCCCAGGATCCCTCGCTACTTCGCTCCAAAAACTGCAAACACACACAAAAAAAAAAAAGAAAAGTTGAAGAACGAGGGGCCAAAAGTTGGCCCTGGGTCACATGTGAGTCAAAGTAAGCCAGAGGCAGGCTGAAGGAGCAGCAGGAGGAGGGTCTCCGAAGGAAGGAGCAGCAGGAGGAGGGTCTCCGAAGGAAGGAGCAGCAGGAGGAGGGTCTCCGAAGGAAGGAGCAGCAAGAGGAGGGTCTCCTAAGGAAGGAGCAGCAGGAGGAGGGTCTCCGAAGGAAGGAGCAGCAGGAGGAGGGTCTCCGAAGGAAGGAGCAGCAGGAGGAGGGTGTCCGAAGGAAGGAGCAGCAGGAGGAGGGTCTCCGAAGGAAGAAACAGCATAATCCGAAGGATGAAGGAGGAGCAGCAGCCCCACACGAAGAAGGAGCAGCAGCAGGACCCTCCACCAGCAGTAGCAGAAGTCCAACTTTTTTGCTGCAGCAACGCAATTGCAATTCTCAAGACGAAAGTGCAACGCTGGCATTTGAACCCCGGGAGCAAAACCGGATGTCGGAAGCACTCCATTCAATCTGCAAACAAGCGTCGCTCTAAAACTGCAACGAAATGAGAAATTCATTTTTTATTTAAATTTCAAGGAGAGAAAAACATCCTGGCACCCCTGATCCTGCAGTCTTGCAGTCTCTCTGGCTTTTCCACTGTCGCTTCCGGCGCGAGGAAGATGAATGCCTCCGACGGCAACGACAACACGATGACGCCAATAGTTTTTTCCCACCCAGTCTCCATGGAGGTCTCCTCTGGCTGCCCTCCGGGGGGGGTCCTCAAGTCGTGTTGATTTTAGCCAAAAACCAAAGAGGGATTCAGCAAGGATTTCCCCCGTGGGAGGTTTCTTTTGGGAATTTAGGAATTTTTCAAAAGGCTAACAATAATGCCCTTAATTGCATTTATAAATATTTTAATTGAAATTCACATTTAAAAATTAAATAAATAGACAGGAAAAAAAAAACACGCACAGTCGCCGTATTTCAACAATTATATGCAACTTCATTAAATTCGCGCATAACTCATGAATGGAGTTTTTCGAAAAAGTTTGAAATTGCAAACGGAATCGGACGAAGCGAAGCGGATAAAACTGCCACACCAATCAAACGATTCGACGCGGGGCATACCCCTCAATCAAATTGATATCAAATGATGAATATTCTTCATAAATTCTACATCATTTGCGAGGGTTTGCCAGTGAAATAAATATTATAAATAAATTATTATTAATCTGCTTGGCTGCCAGATAACATAGTTTGATGTACAGGGTATCTTGGGGGCATCAAAATCGAGTGGAAAGTGTGGTGCCGGCCGCCCCTCAAAGAGGGTTTGCGGAAGGTTCGACGGTGGCTGGTCCATTGGATGACCGTTTGGTGTTGGCGTTGCCAGAGTGCGTTTATGGTTTGATGATTTACAGTCACGGCCATAAATATTCGCACGGCCAGTGTGCACATTATTCGCGATTTATGCCGGCCGGGCCCGGCTCCATGCATAACTCATGCAACAGCACATGTAAAATTTATGCAATTATTAATTTAACACGCCTGCAATGACCTCTGGAAACCCCACAGCCCCCCTGCCCTGTTTCGATGCCCTGTGAGTCGCGTGTTACAGGGCCTATCAATACGGATCTAATCAGAGCATTTAACGGCACTCTGACACCACACGGCTCCCCGCACTGGAAGAACCAATTTGTAAGGCTGTAAATGGACAGAGAGAGGGAGAGAGTAAGGGTTATGGCCCCCACTGCCACACCATAATTTACTCGACGAGCAAAAACACTCACGGAACAATAATAAATGTCCAATATGTTAGCCCAGCCCTGGCCAACGGGGGAGGGAGCCAAAGGAAAGAACAACACTCTCCAGCACACATTCAGGGCACAAAATCGACATCAGTGACAGAAGAATCAACAACAACAACAACAACAGAAGCGCAGTAGCGAAAAAAATGTTATGAATATGAAAAAAACCTAAACAACGAATTGTTTATACCCTTTTAGGGGTAGAAAACCATCAACAGTTTCCTGCGACATGCTCACACGCACATTTTCGTTATTTTGTTTGATTCGTTCGTCTGCGCAATCTGCTCTTCTGTTTTGCCCGCTTCTGGAATTATTCATTCCATTTCCTAATAAATATACCAAAAAAATGTCCATCGGAAGATCAATTTGGGAGTAGTTAAAGCAGGAGTTGGAAGATATACAAATAATGATCTAGTTACTCTTCACATTCATAGAATATATATGATAGAAACTGAAGATCAGGTTCATATGGCCTCCACTGTTTATGCTCGTCATGAACGTATCAAAAATAATCGATTCAGAGTTGCATTTCTCACATCTCATCTAAACGAGAACATCCTCTAGTAGCGCATAGAAAAGCATGACCATTCGGCATGGGTAAAATGAAGGATGATAAGGAAGAGCAGTGGTGGTCAAAGTCCTGTGCGGAAAAGATGGAAAGGAAGCTGCTGGCGCGTGGGGGAATGGACAGGGCCACCTGCTAGGCTCTGGCCCCGGGACCGAGTGCATGGCAGTGAAGTTCCTCCATTGCGAACATGGCCAACATGTCGCTCCATTAATTTGCCATAAAACAGAAGTGGACTAAAATTTGTTTGTAGTTGTTGTCCAGGCAAAAAATTACAAATGGTTCCGGCTCCAGGGGGAGAGAAACATAGACCAGCGGGGGGGAGAGAACTGCCCTGTTGAGGAGGTCAAAAGCTAGGGGTCTTCTTATTTATGGGCACTGGGCAGAGGCACAGGCACAGGCACAGGCACATTCTCTGATGTTCTGTTAAATGTCCGCAATGACACATTGAGGACACCCACTATTTTGTTTTTTGTTTGCCCGAGAGAAGGGCATTAGTAGGGCTTGGCTCCAAAGATCTATTCTATTTTCATTTCCATATATGTATGCATATGATTTGCTCAAGAGATTTGTAGATAAGCTGAGCCCCACCCCTAATCTGACTGCAATTTGCACACAATAAATGTAAGCGAGCAAAAATAAGGGGGAACAGAAATAACTCGGAATTTAAGAGTAAGAGTTGCCGACTAGTGGATACCCTACTTCCAAGATAATGCAAGAAAACAAGGCACTAGTTACTCTTAATAAAGACTATACTATATAGTCGATAAGAGACTATACAGACTATAAAAGCTGTTCTATGGCGGAACTTTTCATGACGTCCTGCGCGGGGTTTTAGTTCTCCTTTAGGCTATCCTTAGTCTCTTACCACGGAACGGTGTCTACCTATTGGTATTCCAAAATTTTCTAGTAACTAATACACAGTCTTTGGCGACGCATAACCTAGATCGAGACTCGAGACCCTTCCAGGTATTGTATAGTCTTTGCCCTTACTCTTCGGCAACAATCGTTCAACTCGTCTCGTTTTAAAAGCAAAGTTTTAAAAGCAAACACAGTGAACATAGAATGTGGAATCCCACATGATTGATCCTGAGCAAGTTCAATCCAACTAAATGAAGTTCTTTGACAGTTCTTCCTTATTTTAGAGTAATAATCAAACTTATTCAATTGCTATGATTTTTGAGAAATAGGTGGACAATAACCTTATATACAAATCTACCAACAAATAGCCGGGTTTTTTTGAAATTGTGCCTTCCACAAATTAAGTTTTTGTTGAAAAATAGTGGAAATGATATATAGTCTATAAAGTGAAAAGTTCGTTTTCACTGTCTGTTTCATACATCTAAACTTGCACGATATACCCCCAGTATTGTAAGAGTATTGGCTATAATAAATGTACAGTTGATCGCTTAGAATACATGACTGTCGCACCACACCCACTCCCATCTATAGAGAGGCATACCCCTCTATTTTCCACCTTTGATATCTGTCCGAGCTGTCTCGTTATTCAATCAAAATAAATATAAACAACAAAACAGCTGTTTTCAAGTGTTTTCGCGATAACATTTGACCGCTGATTCCCAGGGAGGCCAGTCGATTTGTCTATTATCGCCTGCACCGACGTAGGTGACCCCTCCCCGAGGCGCTATCAGAGCGCGATAATGGCCAATAGCTAGACGTTTTTCTGATGTCTAAATCAGTTCCAAATCGACAGGCAAAGCGTGCGGTTCGGTGAATTAATTGAACTACTAAGATGGCAAAGGACAATCTGACAGCAGTGCTCTACGGCATTGAGGATATGCGTTTGGTGAGGCATGGCATTTTTAAAATTATAGAATTCCTAAAGCTCTCGTTTGTTTTCCAGGAACAACGTCCCATTCCAGTGATAGCCGATGATGGTAAGTGCTAGAGAGAATCGTATTCTACAGATGATAACAGTTTTCTGATTGAACTTGAATTCTCCTTGGATCAGAGGTTCTACTGGCTATGGATAGTGTGGGTATTTGCGGCTCCGATGTGCACTACCTCAAAGAAGGACGCATTGGTGACTTTATACTGACCAAGCCCATGGTCATTGGACATGAGGCTGCCGGAGTTGTGGTCAAATTGGGCAAGAAGGTGACGAGCCTAAAGGTGGGCGATCGTGTGGCCATCGAGCCGGGTGTACCCTGCCGCTACTGTGATCTCTGCAAGCAGGGAAAGTACAGCCTCTGTGCGGATATGGTGTTCTGTGCCACTCCGCCGTACGATGGCAATCTTACGAGGTACTACAAACATGCCGCAGACTTTTGCTTCAAGCTCCCGGATCATGTGTCCATGGAGGAGGGTGCCCTGCTCGAGCCCCTCTCGGTGGGTGTCCATGCCTGTCGTCGTGCCGGCGTCGGTCTGGGCTCTCGAGTGCTCATCCTGGGCGCTGGACCAATTGGTTTGGTCACCATGTTGGTAGGTCATCCGAAGATTCAGAAGGATATTCTATAGGAGACTTATCATGCCCGCTTTTTAGGTTGCTCAATCCATGGGCGCCTCAGAGATTCTCATCACTGACTTGGAACAACATCGTCTGGATGTGGCCAAGGAGCTGGGTGCCCATCACACGCTCCTGCAGAGGAGGGATCAAAGCGCCGAGGAGGTGGCAGCGATCGTACGCCGTACAATGTCGGGACCACCGGACAGATCCATTGATTGCTGTGGTGCCGAGAGCAGTGCCCGATTGGCCATTTTTGTGGGTGAAGACTGCCCTTTTTTGGAACTCAAAAAACTAAGTTTTTTCCATCCCCTTTGCAGGCAACTGTTTCCAGCGGAGTTGTGGTGATTGTGGGCATGGGTGCCCCGGAAGTAAAGCTACCCTTGATCAATGCCCTGGCCCGTGAGGTGGACATTCGTGGTGTCTTCCGCTACTGCAATGAGTGAGCAATCAATGGATTGATTGATAAATATATCCTTTAACCTTTCTGCCTTTCAGCTATGCCGCTGCCTTGGCTCTGGTGGCCTCCGGCAAGGTCAATGTCAAACGTCTGGTGACCCATCATTTCGACATCAAGGACACGGACAAGGCCTTCGAGACCTCGCGCAAGGGCTTGGGCGGTGCCATCAAGGTGATGATTCACGTGCAACCCAGGAACACAAACAATCCCGTCAAGTTCTAGATTTTCTGTCTCTGTACATACTCGTAGACGTATAAGTTTCCACTTTAGTTAGTAAACTTTTGAACTGTACTCAAACGAGTCTATATTTATTCACACAACAACTGGAGACCGAGACGACAGACATGTAATATTCATTTTTCCGACTATAATATTCCGGCAAATCAAAATTTTCAAAGAGTTCTTACACATTGCTGAAAGCGAAGCCCACCAAAATGATCGGAAGAATATCAATCTGTCGTACACCCCTTCATTATTTGGGAATGCTGCGTCCTACTTTGAGATCCACACAGCTGTCGCCTCTGGCGGCACAACGCCTTATGCATGATACTGGCGACTCGGGAGAGGAGCCATCGGCCAAGGGCCGCACTCGCCTTCGACAGGTGAAACACATTGAAGTGCGACGGGGCTCTGGTAAGGGAGAAAACCCGATCAGAGATGGTGCAACGACTAGCGGCCTGAGGACGAAGTCCGTGGGCCTTGAAAGCGAGGAAGCAAAGAATGAACCCATGGGTGAGGCAAAGGACGAACCCATGAGTGAGGCAAAGGACGAAGTCTTCAATGAAGCAAAGGAGGTTGCCTTAATGAGCGCCTCGAAGGATGAACCCATGAGTGAGGCAAAGAATGAACCCATGAGTGAGGCAAAGAATGAACCCATGAGTCAAGCAAAGAATGAACCCATGAGTGAGGCAAAGAATGAACCCATGAGTGAGGCAAAGAATGAACCCATGAGTCAAGCAAAGAATGAACCCATGAGTGAGGCAAAGAATGAACCCATGAGTCAGGCAAAGAATGAACCTATGAGTGAGGCTAGGGACGAACCCATCAGTGAGGCTAAGAACGAAGTCTTCAGCGAAGCAAAGAAGGTAGCCTTAATGAGTGCCACGAAGGATGAACCCATTAGTGAGGCAAAGAATGAACCCCTCTGTGAAGCCAAGGACGAAGCCTTCACCGGTGCCCAGCACGAACCCATGGCTGAAGCAAAGGACTCACCCCGCAGTGATGCCCAAGATGAAGCCTTCACCACCGAAATCCCCCAAGAGCGTAGACAGGAGTCTCCCTTCGAGTCCAGGCCAGAGCTACCCATGGAGAGGCAGCCAGCCTTGCCCGCAAAGACATCACCGGGCGAGGTGAATCCCAAGAATCCCTATCACATCGTGACATGTGAACAGGAACAGGATACGGAGCCATCGAATGCAGAAGTCCCCGAAGCTAAAGTGAAGGTATCCGGCACGATCATCTTTAAGGACAGCTCGAATTTTGAGACCAAATCTTTGGAAATTCTGGCAAACGTACCAACGCCTAAAGGAGAGTCGTTGAATGTTTGGTCACAGTCTTGTGCCCCAGAGAAGGCGGATTCCGGTGCCGCGAAGAACGTCAATGACACGAAGGACGAGGAAGCGCAGATTATTTTGGAATTTGATGCCGATACGTCAACTACAAAAGGAAATATGGATCTTAAAGTCAATGCCTCTAAAACCGAAGAGATCCTCAACTCTGACACGCAGAACAAGATCGACGAAAAGCAGGCAACGATTGAGGATCTATATCCAACGACCCCAAAAGGATACGAGATTGGTTGTGTGGTAGATCTAAGCGACATAGTCCAGAGCTCCAGAGATGAACAGAACGTGGAAGCCATTGTTCCTGAAACTGAAAATCTTGATGATAAGATTCAGATATCCTCTTCAGCAGAAACCACCAATAGATTACCCCGTACGATCGCAAGGAAAACGGATGATTCGCCCGCAAAAGCCGTAGAAGCAGTGAACGAAGAGCAAGCCGTAGAAGCCATTGTCCCAGAAACTGAAAATCTTGATAAGATCCAGACATCCTCTACAGCAGTGGACGAAGAACAAGCCGTGGAAAAAGTGGAAACCATTGAAAACCCCGAAGAGATAGCCATCAAATCACCCACCAATAGATTACCCCGTACGATCGTACAGAAGAAGGATGATTCGTCAACCCAGACACCCACCAATAGATTACGCATTCAATGGGTAAATGAGGATGGTTCCCCCGCGAAAGTCGCAAAAGCCGTAGAAGCAGTGAAAGAAGAACAAGCCGTGGAAGCCATTGTCCCTGAAACTGAAAATGTAGATGATAAAATACAGACATCCTCCTCAGCAGCACCCACCAATAGATTGCCCCGTACGATCGTAAAGAAAACGGATGATTCGCCCGCGAAAGCCGTAGAGGCAGTGAAGGACGAACTATCCGTAAAATCCGTTGTCCCTGAAACTGAAAATGTAGATGATAAAATCCAGATGTCCTCTAAAGCAGTGAAAGAACAGTCCGCGGAGGCCGTGAAAAAAGTGAAAGCCATTGTCCCTGAAAGCCCCGAAGAGATAGTCATCAAATCAGCCACCAATAGATTACCCCATATGATCGTAAGGAAAAAAGATGATTCGCCCACGAAAGCCGCAGAAGCCGTAAACGAAGAACAGGCCGTGGAATCCTCAGAAGAAGTGGAAATCGTCGCTGAAAACTCCGACGCCTTCAAATCTCCCACTAATACCTTACCCCTTAGGATCGTTAGGGATGCAAATGATTTTCCCGTTGAGCCAATTTTTAAACAGTTAATACCATCGTCAGAGTTTAAGACGAATAGGGATGCACCGCCCGAAGAGTCCTACTCTTGGAAAGATAAATCCAAAGAAAACATAGAGTTTATCCAGACTAAAACAGTGTTTAAAAGCGATATGGAAGAGGAATTAGTGGCACCAACATCGATGGACTTGAGTCCGGAGAAAGCTTTGAAGAAAGTTGAGGTGGAAACTTCGGAAGCTAAAGAATTTAAGTCGGAGATGAATGAACTGCAATCGGAGACCAAAGAACTTCAATCGGAGATGAATGAACTGCAATCGGAGACCAAAGAACTTCAAATGGAGATGAATGAGCTGCAATCGGAGACAACAGAACTTCAATCGGAAGTGAATGAACTGCAATCGGAGACAAAAGAAGAGAAATCAGAATCTACAGAAGTCCAGAACTTTCCCAAGTCCGCTGCAGAGATAATATCCATGATGGAACAGAAGCACAAAGACAAGAAATCCATGACCCTTGCCAACAGGTCCCATGATTACCCCTCGAAATCCACATCCCAAATAGTTGCAACATTTGGCCTGAGACCCGAACCCGGTCAAGGATTCAGGGCCAAAGGACAGCTGAACAGAACCGAGCTGGACAGACAAGCTGATGAATACTTTGCGTACATCAGTGAACCGGTGACGTCTCAACGGGCGACGAAAATGGAACCGGAACCCTCAGAATTGGAAAAGAAAATGGAACCAGAAAACTCAGAACTGGCGAAATCAATAGAAGCAGAAACCTCCGAACTGGACAGAAAAGTAGAACAAGTGGAGACAGCAGAAGAATCGAACAGAAAAGCCGAAGAATACTTTGAGAAGATCCACTATCCGGAGACCTCAGCATTGGAACCAGAAATCGCTGAATTTATGAAGAAAATAGATTTGGAACAATCACAATTGGAGATGAAAATGGGACCAGAAACCTCCGAGCTGGACAGAAAAGTAGAAAAAGTGGAAACACCAGAAGAATCGAACAGAAAAGCTGACGAATATTTCGCGAAGATCCACTATCCGGAGAGCTCAGAATTGGAACCAGAAATCGCCGAATTTATGAAGAAAATAGATTTGGAACAATCACAATTGGAGATGAAAATGGAACCAGAAACCTCCGAGCTGGACAGAAAAGTAGAAAAAGTGGAAACACCAGAAGAATCGAACAGAAAAGCTGATGAATATTTCGCGAAAATCAACAAACATACGACCCCAGAATTGGAACCTGAAATTTCGAAATTCATGGAAACCTCAAAATTGCCGAAGAAAATTTTACCAGATTTCTCCAAGCTGTACAAAAAATTTCAAAAAGTGGAGACGCCAGAAGAATCCGAGAGAAAAGCTGAAGAATATTTTGCGAAGATCAGCGCACCGGAAACCTCAGAATTGGCAAAGAAAATGGAACCAGAAAAATCAGAATTGGCAAAGAAAATCGAACCAGAAAAATCAGAATTGACGAGGAAAAAGGCAGCAGAAACCTCCCAACTGGGCAGAATAGTAGAAAAAGTGGAGACGCCAGAAGAATCCGAAAGAAAAGCTGAAGAATATTTTGCGAAGATCAGCGCACCGGAAACCTCAGAATTGGCAAAGAAAATGGAACCAGAAAAATCAGAATTGGCGAATAAAATGGAACCAGAAAAATCAGAATTGACGAGGAAAAAGGCAGCAGAAACCTCCCAACTGGGCAGAATAGTAGAAAAAGTGGAGACACCAGAAGAGTCCAACAGAAAAGCCGAGGAATACTTTGCGAAGATCAACGATCAGGAGACCTCGCTGGACAGACAAGTGGAGGAACCAAGGCGCACCACGTTTGAAGAAATGTTCGTCAACTCAAAGTCGAGTCAATACTTTAACGAAATGAAGCCCAAACAGGAAACTTCTCGGCTAAAGAGAAACGAAACCTCAAAAAAGGTCGAAAAAAGCTCACATTTGGATAAAAAACTAGATCAAGCGATTAAGGACATGGCATTAAACCAAAAAGCTGAGGAATACTTTGACATAATAAATGAAGCAGAACTCTCGCAACTGGAAGGCAAAATGGAACCCGAAAGCTCACAATTGGACAAAAAAATGAAGCCCGAAACCCCCCAAGAAGAAGAATCGAGGTCTTTCGAGGAACTGACCACCAAATTTGTAGTGACACATGGGGGGGAAAAAGAGAAAGCCGATGAGAAATCAATGAAAAGGAATCGAGACGATGCCATAGCCGAAAAGCAAGGGGATGACACCAATGAAGAGCCGCCATCCGATAGACCTCTCTTTGTGCCCCCTGACGACAAGGACAGGCTAAAGGAGAAAAGTGAACTGTCAGAAGGAGATCTGTATAAAAAACAATCAGAGGATCCTGTGTCTGACGATGCGGCAGAATTTAATTCAAACTCCGAGCCCGAAAAGAGGCCAGCTCCAGAGAAGAAACGGAAACGCAAGCTGGCGGATGGAGAACTAGACGTTAAGCTGCTCGTTCCGGATGAAGCCAAAGAGACTGCCAGTGGGACTTCCCCGGGAATAGATGCATCACCAAAACAGAACTTTGTTCAATACATCGTTGAGAAGATCTTTCGCAAAAAGAAGCCCCCGCCAAAAGGCAGAACAATGTCCACCTGCAGCCAGAGCCGTGACGTCAGCACAAGCTGTGCTTTGCTTTGCCCTGACAACAATGACATATTCGATGATCCGTTCAGTCCAGAAGAGGGCAAGACAATCAATCCCAACGATAAGGACTTCATTTCGCCCGATCTGGAGAGGCAGGGTCTGGGCGCCAGAGCCATACGCACGGACCGTGAAGAGAATCGGAAACATGGTCAACCCCAAGCCATGAAGATCGATAATCCGGTGGGTGTTTGGTCTACAAAGAAAACAAAGACTCCTTTGAATCATCAGCCCGGGATGAACATGAGCACGATGTTCTTTTCCAGCGATTCAGATTCCACCAAGATCCGTGGCGGTTCCAAGCAGTGCAAAAACCGCGAGAAGACAATGCGCGAAAAGCTAATGGAAAAGAAAGAGAGCAAAGACAATAAAATCGAGATCATGGGCGGCTCCGAGCAGTGTGCCGAAAAGTTGGAGAAACTCAAAGACGGCTCTAAAGATGATGACTGCAAAAGCAGTTTCAGCAGCTTCTTTCAATTCACAAAAATGTTCTGGGTAAGTCCATTGAAAGATCCACAAAGAACGAACACTTCCAGGGGGCAACAGTACCTTCTTTAAACAGTATATTTCAATGTCACATCGAGGTCACATTAGATTAGGTCTCCCTCAACGTAAAGTGGAAAATATTTAGCGTCTATTAAAAATGTTTATGCCACTGATAAGAGGCCACAACTTTTGATAGTACTGCAGGCAGCGCGGAAAGATTGGAAATGTCTAGTAGAAGTACTCGTATAACGTAAAACACTTGGGTTACTTGTAGGTCAAGAAACAAATCACTTACTAATGGGCAAACAGTCTCCTACTCTTTCAGGCTCAGAACCAACCAAAAAGGACAAATAGAAGAGGCTGCCCTGCCAATTGAAGCTGTGCTGATGGAGAGAACTCACAATCAAATTACATAAACTATATCCGATTTATCTAAATTAAATTATTTTAATATACTTGAAAGTAACAAAGAAACCAAAGAAAACATTTATGGGGGCGTTTTTTCACATCCTATTACACCACATTCTCGAACTGAAACGCTGCTGAATTGTTGGGATTGGAACTTAAACAAGGCAGCTGTGTCTTCTTCCTCGCTCGATCTCATACTGATCTCACTCTCAGATTTATTATTCTCCTTTGTCTGTCTGCGCTCTCTGCAAGCAGAGAATATTTACATGAGTTTGTACGGAAATTTTTAATTTATTTGAAGCAATTACAGGTGAACTTACGAACTACTGGTATACATATGTACAGTGGTATTAGGGGATTAGGGTATTAAGTAGAGCTATAGGTATAGGTAGGGTATTAGGGTACTCCTACTGAATCAATAGGAGACCTAAGGGACTCCCCGTCGCCCTTATGAGAAGACGCGTCTGGATCAGGAGTTAAAAATCATTGGCGATTGTGGTCCTTGCAACAAGCTTGGGGTGTGCCCAGGCCAAGCTCCGAAGGGCAATGAATGCCCTTCTGCATCGTCTGATCCGCATTGATGTCTTGAACGAATCTCCCATGAAGCTCGATTACACACTCGCCCTGAAGATTGAGGATTTCTTGGAACATCGGAAGAGCCCAGTTCTTCCAGGTCTTGAATAGGCCAAGTCCATACATGAAGCCCGTTTGCCTCCCATCGTTCGTTGGGCGATTGGACCACCAGAAGCACATCTACTTCTCCCTGAAGTCGCCCTTGGCTGGCGGTCGTCCTTGTCGTAGTAATGCTGCCGCTCCCGAAGGGTATGAGGTTGAGATTGATACAGTTTATATGTACTCGGTTTTACCTAATAAATGTACGAGAAGGTGTCGCGTCACCCCTTTCTGACAGCAATAAAAGCGCCTCCTGATTTGTTTTAATTTTAACGTTTTTTACAGCAAAAAAAAATCTTTTTAAAATCTGAAAATCCTTGAAAAATAGTTGGCTTTGGTTTTGTCGTAGCCAAATCAGTTACTGACTAACGACAGTTCAGTTCACATCGGAAGCTATAGTTTCGTATAGCTCTCGTTTTTAAATGTTTCGGTTTTTGTTTTAAATTTCCCCATGTCTTTGGATTGCAGACCAAAAAGAATATCTGCAATCTTTTTAGCTGACGTACTCTATTGAAAATTCATTAAAAATTCGTTGTAAAATTAAAGAAATAGCACGTTTTTAAGATGCTCAAACGAACGGTTTTGGCTTTGGGCAGGAGTGTGAAGGAATACTTTCGAGCGGTTCAGCCGATCACCGCCTTCAGCACCAGTCTCATCCACAGGGTCCACGAGCGTTACAAGGCGGAGTTGCAGCCGGATCAGGGTATACTCAAATCGGTCTTCAACAGATGGAAGCCCTGTGAGTACCCGCAGACTACACTTTTACTCTTAAAGGATCGGAATTAACAACCATCAAACACGCAGATGTTACACCGCCTAACGATGGCATAGGCTTGCGGGACTGTCGAGCCGACAACTTGGTTCTTCAGAAATGCATGGTCACCTCTTATATGGCCGTTTATTTGGGCGGCCAGGAAGTGCAGTTTGACAAGGATCAACCGATCAACATTTGCAATCATTTCCCTTTATTATTCGAGCCATTTCGCAATAATCAAATCCTAGAGTCGGAGCCAGATCCGAGGAAGATTGAGGCAAGTCCATCGGAGGAACAGAAGGATAGCTCGATCAGAGTGATCAGGGAAGTGACGTCCAGTTCTCCAGCTCTTGACAAGGATTTCTTGCACTATCTGGATGTGCAGAAGGCCAACAGGATCCAGAAAGAAGACGATGAACGAAAGAAAGTGGATACAAAGCAGGATGAGAATAGGAAAGAAGAGACTACGGCAAGCTGTGGCAAGCAAGACAGGAAGGTTGAACAGAAAAGCGGCAAGGAATCCAAGAAAAAGGATAAAAAGAAGAAATCGAAGCGGGACATCCGCAAGCTGAGGGAAGATTGCATGAAAATGGAGAAGTTAATCAAGGCCAAAATGTACCTAAAAATGTACAAGGCCCTGGCCGGGCAGAGAAATAAATGCAAGGAAGTCGCAGCGAATACAAAGAAATGCAAGAAATTGATCGAAGCTGTCAAGTGCAAGAAGCAGGCGTTAGATGAAAAGTTCAAGAAAATGGCCGAAGTGGCAAAGAAAGGTGCCCAAAACGAAAATCCCAAGAAGCAGGCCGAAAAAGCAAAGCTCGCGGACCAAAAAATCCAGCTCCTAGTGGCAGAATTGAAGGCCATGAAAAAGGCCTGCCTGGAACTGACCGAGAAGATCGCACGCGTCAAGGAGGCCAAGAGACAGGAGCTGATTAGAGCCTGTCAGGCCTTGGTCGAAAGGGATCAACGCGAGCAATTTGCCAAAGCCAGCGAGCAGAGGGCCCAACCAAAAACCGAAGCAAATCTATGCCATCAAAAGCAATGCGAAAGATTGAAAGAAATCGAGAGATGCAGAAAAATCAGGCACAAGCACAAGTTGGAGAAGAGAGCCAATGACCTCAAGAAGCAATGGGAACTAATAACGCGAGCGAAGAAAGCCCGGAAACAAGCCGAGCTGGAGAAATGCCAGAGGGCGAAGTCTGCACCCTAGTTGTGCCTCCAAGAAGCTGAAAAAAGTGCAGAATGTTCCATAATTATAATGTCTGTATACGCTTAATTCTACCTGATTCTCGGAGAGAACAAATTAATGGAACGTTCTTGTCAGATAAATAATATATGCGTTTTATTACGAGAATCGTCGTAGGAGTTTTACTTTAGCTTTAATTTTAGGCACTATTTGCTGCGAGTAAAACTGCATTTTTGAGCAGCGAAATTGACAGAATTTTGTGCGTTTTTATAACGTGTACAATATATGGGGGGGGAGGGGGGCTGCTTTCGCTTTGGACGGAAAGCTATTATCAAATAAATGCAAGCCGAACAAACAAAATGACGGAAAGTAAATCAAAGGTCGAGAGCACACTTGAATCATTCCTGGCGAGATTCTGGGGTCCGAGATTCATTTTTACTGATTCGCTGGCGGCGCTGTGGCATTGTTGAACTGAAACGTTGGATAGCGGGGCGCAAAGCCCCCCTGCCCGCTCATCTGTGTGTGTTCCGAGTCATCGCGTCCGGCAATGGTGGGCGCCCGATACTGGGTCTCCACAAACTGCGGTGGCGCTGTCAAAAAATATAAATTAAATTAGTAAAAATCACACGTTTCTTGGTAGAAAATCTCAATACTCACGTATATTGGGATAAAGATTGCCACCGCCGGCAGTGCTATCGGCCACATTCCAGCCCTGGGCGCCACCCATGGGACCCGGCGGACTGGCCGGACTCACCGGCTGTGTGGGCGCCAGCGAGGGATCTTCCGATTGGATAGCCGGAACATCTGAATATTGAACGGGCGGCCTCATGCCAGCCAGCGGAATGGTCCCCAAAGTGATGGGAATTTTGCCCGTAAGATTTCTATGCGCACCGCTCACTTCACAGGTCACATGCAGGTCATAGTCCAAGGCAATGACACCACAATTGGATAGATTGGTTGGCGGCAGTGCGGGTATCTCCAGCTGCTGGGTAAACGTGCGCGATTCGCCGCCATTCACTGGGCCAATGCTGAGATTGGAAATTATGACCTTCGATTCGCGTTTCTCGCTGCGCGGCTGGCTGGTATGGAAGGTGACCAGCTTGCGCAGCTCGAACTTCACGGCACTGAGATTCACATTGCTGGTGTTGTCCACCTCGCAGGTAATGGGCAAGATCTGACCCGAAACGTAACCAGTTTGCGGTACGCTCGTGATCACGGCCAACGGACCCGAGGCACAGCAGAAGCAGCAGAAGGACTTCTCCAGCTCCAGCTTAAAGGGATCCTTGACACGTGGATTGAGATTCAAGTCCACGGGCGCAATGACCGTAAAGGCCATTTTCATATCCTGATCGAATTTCCATGGCCTGTCCAGCGTCACCTTGATGGTATAGCGCACATGTCCGAATTCGCCCTCGAACGACGAGGGCAAAGTGGGTGGCAAGGCGCAAGTGAAGGGATAGGTGTGGGTACCCGGCGGCAGTTCCGTCTCAGCGCCTGCAAAAGTTTTGCCATTAGAGGGGGGAATATTCTTTTAGATCTCGATGGAATACTCACTGTTCTTGCCGCCCAACAGATAGTATTGGATTTTGAAGTACTCCTCATGTCCCTTCAGTGTTGTGATTTCGTTCTCGGTCTTGCCCTCGCTGGTGGTCACATTACGCTCCTCATTCCACTCCGTATTGGCCTCGCCCAAGAATCGTATTATGATGCCTAGAAAGAGCAAGTGTTTGTGCTGTGAATGACAATTTACTGCGGTGTCGCCTGTCTGAAATTAGCTATAAATAATATAAAAGCTACTGCGTCTCTGCTACGCTCTCGCTGACGGCTTTGGCGCTCTTGGCATGCCCATCAGATGACATCATCGCTAGGCAGCAGCAGCAGCGCCAGCATCGTTCCAATGTGTTTGCTGGCCTCAATCAAAGGTTTCGTTCTTTGTTTTGGAACGTATACCCTACATACATATACATATATCTATTATATTCACACTTGAGTCTATAAATAGTTTTGTTATCTGTCAAATTGGAAATGCAAACAATGGGGGGAGAAAGTGCATTTCTGTGATAGGTTCAACAACCGCTAACAACTGTGAAAAACTGCCCCACCCCAAAAGTAGCCTCTCGTCCAGGCGTAGGGCGTTGGGTGGTTTACATGACGGCACCCGGCTTTTGAGGTGCAAGGACTCACAAATAAAGTGGCCTGCTTATATTATACATTTATTTATTCTTGGCTGTCGTCACTCTGATGAGTAATAGACCGCAACCTCTCAGCTGACTTGAATAATTAGTACGTAGTTCGTACTCCCCTCCCTGACTACCTTACACACCCGAAATATTTCAATTTTGACATCACTCACCTCGAACCTTCTTTGGCGAATCGAATGTGAACTTAGCCTGGCCATTTACCGTCTGTCCGGCATAGTACGTGTTCCAGGGATTGTCCAATTCCACTTCACAACCTTTGAGACCCATGTTGGAGATTCAATGTTTAATCCACTGACAAATTAACGACAATTTCTCCGGGTTGTTTTGAAACGGATTTCGTACGTGCAATTCTGTGTCTAGTGATGGAAAAGTGCACGCAGCTAGCGATGGGGAAACCATAAAAATACTTCGATAATTTTAGTGGGACCAGACAGAAAGAGACGAGAAAAGGAGCAGTTTAAATATATGCTTTAGCCTAGACCACTAACCATACAGTATATATAATGTATGGTTAGTGCCTAGACAATATTGTTTGGCTAAAATAAATACTTTTGTCACATATAGATAGTGCCACAGCTGTGCGACTGAAAGTTGGGATACGTGACTGTCTTCCCGGAGGTTCACTGTGACTCCAACAATACAAAGTTATCGACTGTAACCCATCTCTATGACAATAGAGGAAGAGGACTTTTGGCGAAAAATCTCTTTTTTCTACGCTTTTTTCATTGATTAAACAAATTTAAACTAGCTATAGAATCCGCATTAAATGTCGCTGTTTCGCAAGCCGAAGAAAATACAGCGACGGGTGTTCTCCAGCAATTCACCGGACGACAGGGATGACGGGGCCACGTTGGATATGGACGCCGAGATGGAGTCGAAACCGCCGTCGCTGATATTGTCCGGCAAACGCGACAAGGAAAAAGTGAAGAGAACAACGAATGATGACAACAAGCCAAAAGCATTGCTTAGCTTTGCCGACGATGGTGAGTGTGCAAATTGAGTGGCCCAATCCGAGGGGTTCCAATAAAATTGATTGATTGATTTTGCAGAGGATGATGGGGAGGTCTTTCAAGTGCGGAAATCGTCGAATAGCAAGAAAATAATGCGTTTAATGGACAAGGAGCGGCGCAAGAAGAAGCGCGAGGAGCGAACGGATCACGGCGGTAGCACGGAAAATGGTAGTACACAGCATTTAGAGTCGTCCAGTGCCACGGGTGCTACAAATTCTAGTAGATATAAAAACGCGAGCAGCGATCAGAGTAAAAGTAAAAAAAGTGATAATCATATGATCCAAACCGAAATACGCACAGACGACTTTGTGGTAAGGTTATTATTATTCAATTTTTCTCACACCATTCAAAACCGAACAAATTTCAACTCAACAAATGATATGATACCAATAGAATTATAATAATTAAGAGCAAACATTCACACGAAAATCCTTGAATGATGAAGGCGATGTTGTGTTGTTTTAAGCTATAGTTTGCAGTCTACACATAACCATAAGTTGCTGTTGTAATCGATTCATTTCTAAGCTGCTTATATTATACATAATCGCATGCATCCCACTTTTATACGCCGCATGAATATCCTCTTATATCTTGATCTATCATGCACCTTTTTATGATCTCTCCATTAATATGGTTAATAATCTTTGTTCCATTAGCTTGTGGTCAAGAAATCGGAGACACCCGAGGCTGTTCTGAACGGTCGCGCTGCCCTCTGTGCCGGGCGTGATGATATGAGCGACGATGGCGGAGATCCATCGGACGATGGGGGCCATAGCAAGGAGCATCATCGCTTCTCCAAGCCAGAGGCATTGAAGCAAATGCTGGAGAGTGGCTCCATACCAGATGCGGCCATGATACATGCGGCACGCAAGCGGCGACAGCGAGCCAGAGAGCAGGGTATGTCCCAACACTATTCTGCATGGATTTTCCTAATAACTTTCGTTGAAATCCCTTAGGTGCCGGCGATTATATACCCATTGAGGAGAACAAAGAGCCGCCCAAGCTGAGCACCCGGCTGCCCAACGAGGACGTCGAGGGCGACCAGTCGGACGATGAGGAGCGTGTGGATATGAGCGACATAACCGGTCGCAAGGAGCGCGAAGAGCGTCGCGAGCAGTTCTATGCCGTCGAGAATGATTGTATGTAGAGTGTGGGCCATCCCCCCCAAGGATGTGGCCAGAGCTGACGGCAGTGCTGCACGTCGCTCAGATGCCTACCTATGGTTTGTGCTCAATCGATCCATCTAATCTTTGTTCAATCTACTTCAGCGACCGAGGAAGACTCTGACCGCGAGATGAACGAGTGGGAGAACCAGCAGATCCGCAAGGGCGTCACCGGTGCCCAGCTAGTCCATGCCCAGCACGAAACTGTGCTCTCGCGCTTCATGATCAAACCGGCGGCGCCCAGCGGAGCGCTAGCCCTGGAAGACGAGGACACGGACCTAGCGGCCCCACAGTCCACCTCCATATTGCTGGAACAGGCCTATGCGAAGAATGCCCTCGAGCGCAGCAATCTGGCCTCAGCCATACGTTCTGCGGCAAAGCCCAAAAAGGACAAACCCAAGGCCACAGCATTGCGCACACCCCAGGAGATATTCACTGCCATTCAGACACGTCTCGCCGAGATAAAGGAACGATCGACGGATCACTCGGCCACCATGGCCAGAGTCAGCTTGGAGCTGAAGGAACTGAAGCTGCAGCAGCAAGAGTGCCAGAAGAATGCCCCCACGGCGGCAGCCAAGTACAAATTCTATCAGGAGGTCAAGTGCTATGTGAACGATCTGGTGGACTGCCTGGCCGAGAAGAGTCCCGTGATCAATGAGCTGGAAAAGCGGTCGCTGCAGCAGTCGGGCAAGAATAATCGCTATCTGGTGAATCGCCGGCGGCAGGATATCAGAGACCAGGCCAAGGAAATGGCCGAGGCATCAAGTAGGAATCAGCCATTGCCCAAATTCGTATTGTTTTTCATTCGGTTTTCTCATTTTTCCAGAGCCTATCACCGCTGCCGCTCGTCGCACACCCGAATACGAAGAACAAGTGCGCCGCGCTGCCGAGCGGGAGGGACGAAGGACGCGACGCCGCTGCGAACGTGAACGCAACGATCTCTTGTCCTCCCATTTGGATGGCATGTCCAGCGATGACGAAATAGCCGACCAGCAGCAGGAACAGAGTGTGGCTGCCACTGCGCAAACGGAAAAGGAAGCGGCCGAAGCCTTTGAAGATGTCACCGATGAATTCTGTAAAATCGAACTGATTCTCATGAAGTTCTATGCCTGGCGAAAAACCGACATGACCTCGTATCTGGATGCGTTTGTTAGCTTGTGTCTGCCCAAGCTCTTGGCCCCACTAGTGCGCCACGAACTGCTCGTGTGGTCGCCGCTGCTGGATGTCTATGCGGACATTGAGACCATGCATTGGTATCAGGCCAGCATGCTGTACGCCTGCCAGGCGGATGAAACAATAGAGCAGCTAAAGAACGATCCAGATGTGAATCTTGTCCCTGCGCTGATTGATAAGATTGTGCTGCCAAAGGTCACATGTAAGTGCAGCCACAGAAGCTGCCTTTACAACTGAAAGTAATGCCATTTGTATTTGCTTTTAGCTTTGGTCACGGAATGCTGGGATCCCCTGTCCACCACACAAACACTGCGACTCGTGGGCTTTATCAATCGCCTGGGTCGTGATTTTCCGCTCACTGGCACCAATAAGCAGCTCAAGAAACTCTTTGAATCGATCATGGAACGCATGCGATTGGCATTGGAAAATGATGTGTTTATACCCATATTTCCCAAGCAGTAAGTGGACAGGATTAGCCCACACATTTAAGAACTGTGTTAACTTTTAATGTTTCCAGAGTGCAAGAGGCCAAGACATCGTTCTTTCAGCGTCAATTCTGCAGCGGCCTGAAGCTGTTTCGCAACTTTCTCAGCTGGCAGGGCATACTGGGGGACAAGCTACTGCGTGAGCTGGCCATTGGGGGGCTGCTAAACCGCTATCTGCTGCTGGCATTGCGTGTCTGCTCGCCCAACGATGCCATCAACAAGGCCTACATCATAGTGAATACCCTGCCAACGGTATGGCTGCTGCCCAACAGCGAAACCCTCAAGAATTTGGAACTATTTATAATGTATATAAAACAAACGTTGGACAGCTGTGATTCCAGCAATCCAGTTTTTATGTGAGTAAACGAAAATCCTTTCCTTTGATTTTAGTGGTTAATCTGTACCTGTTTTCCCCTTAGGCAATCCTGCGAAAAGGCCAAGCAAATGCTCATAAGACTACATAGTTATTAAAGTAAACATCGCTCACATTTCAGCAACAACCAACCGAAAACAATCAAATACTCTTGTTCTAGAAAGGCAAACGCAAAGCACAAAACTCTAAACTAAATTAAAAAAGTTCTATCATTTGTAAGAACTTTTCAACAATTTGTATATACGTATACCCCTCCCCCCTAAAAAGGATGTGTGTGCTCGGAGCTTGAACACCTATAATGAAAAGAAACGCTTTCCTAAAACCCCAAAGACCCCCCAATTGTTTTCCTATAAACATTAAAAAGAAAAAAAAACATTCAAAGTGATAAATTGTGGAACTCTGTTTAAGGCTCTTAAACCATTTTTTGTAACTTTACTGATTGTATTCAAGGCGACTCGACTTTCGTGCATAGCAATAAAAAAAAATAAAAACAATTTATAAACTATGCAATTTTAACAAAAATCTATTACAGACCAAAACCAATGGAAATTTAAGACAAAATGAAAGCACGGGCGACAGGGAGAAATCTCAGTCTCAATCGGCCTTGGAAACGGAGGCCCGCGTATAGTTCTGGGCCAGCTCTACCACCTTCGACTGCATGATCTGCAATTGTTCGTGGGCCATTTTGGAATCGTCACTTTCGGGCGCTGTCTGTAGCACTTGCAACACCAAATCTGCAAAAAGAAATTCGAAAATATATTAGCAAAGACTATAAAAGTGGAAGATATTGATGCTTGAGAACGAGACTGATGCTTGAAGCCAATACTCGGTCCCGAAGTCTCGAAGAAAATATGCCTCGTTATGCCCAGGACATGCAATTTGTTGTTGTATTATTTGGCATTCCGTTTTGAGCCATTCGCTAGGGCAAAAGAATTTTCTTAGTCTTTCTTGGGACCGAGACCTTAAAAGACCAAAAACTAAGTCTTTTTCTAGGCCAAAGGGGACCGACTCAGCAGCCTAAAGTCGAAGCCGTTGGAGACGGTCTACGGGGCCATAGAACGCCTCAAGCAACATCTTGGTACTTGTATAATCTTTGGTAATATTAAATGATCAATACACACCGTGATAGCGTAGCAGCATGTCATTCTGTGGGTCACTTAGAGAGCCCCGGATGTGCTGCAGTATGGCAGAGACGAATTTGCCAGAAGCATGCAAAATGCAGCCACTAATTGTGGTAAACAGTATCAGTGCAGCCAGATGGAGCAGCAGGGCTGGCTCTTGGCAGTCGAGCAGCTGTTGCTGCAGCTTATTTTTGTGATCCGCAATCAGCAGGCGATCCTTTTTCTTGTCCACCTTTTTGATAATCATGCTGCAGGCTTTCAGCACCGACTCCGTGGCCAGCTCGAAATCATCTATGGATTTGTTCAGGGCTTTGTTTTGTTCCAGCAGGGCACTGCGATACTCTGCATCGCACTCTTGGGCCAGTTTGATGCGCTGATCCACATTCAAGCTGGTATTCTTCACCGTCAGATTGCATTCGCTGGCCACATAGAGCGATAGTTCATTGCAGATATCATTGCCAAGGGACTTGAGCAGATATTTCACCAGCTGCGTCTGTGTGTCGTGGCTAAAGAGCTTCAGACCCTTCTCATACAGCCGTATGTCTATCAGCAGAGTGTTGATGCGATCCTGGATGGCGGCATGGGTCTGACGGCGATTCGTTTGAGGTGTGGCCTCATACAACTCCTGGGCCTTGGCCAGCGCTGCCTGATTCAATTGGCTGTGAATGATAAAGAAATATAAAGCAGTGTTCTGTGAACTCCCTTATTCCTGCCTACTTTAGATAAAGAGCTGCAATCGAGGGAGCCAAGTGCTCCAAACCCTCCTCCTGTAGGCTGGCATTGATGAGCTTTTCGATATCCGCAGTCTTGACTAGATCCAATGGTTTTACAGTCTTCTTATTTCCGCCGCCACCGCCTGCTCCTCGGGAGCCCTGATGCTGCACATCGTCCTCGACATCGGAATCGTTCTGGGCTGCTGCACTGCGTCGTTGATGCTTTTTCGTTGACTTAGTTTTGGTTTCGCGTCCCTGGGCGCCGCCACCGGCTTTGCCAGAGGAGGCCTTTTTCCTACGCTCGTCGCGCTTGTCCAGCTTGCCATCATCGTCCTGGTCCTGGAAGGAAGCGTTACCCTTCTGAGCCAGAGTCTTCTCCACAATAAACTGCTGATAGACGCCCGAGTCGATGGCTGCCTTGGCCTGGGCCTCGGCCAGAGCATGGCACGGCTGTACCAGTTCCGTAAGATACGGCTGCGAGAATACTGAAAGGAGAACGAACAGAATGAGCCATGAATCCATTAAATCATGGAAGTCAAATGCGTACCGATGCTATCCAGGTAGACAAAATTGCTGGGATTGCTATGCTTTTGGGCCATAATGGCGCTGAACACCTCCTCGATGTCCTCCTCCGATAGATTCGAAGGCAGAATGGTGGTCAAGTCTAAGTATTGCTTGGTGGCACTGCACTCATTGAGGGCCGTGACGACGGTGAGCTCCACTAGACGAGCGCCCAGGGCCACGCGCTTCAGGAACAAGAACTCCTCGTTGGGAAATTGTTTGCGTATGTAGGATTTGGCATCGGAAATGCCAAGCTTGTTGATGGCATCGTACTCGAGGAAACTGTTCTGCTTGTAGAAGGAGTTCACCCAATCGGCCTGCGTCTTGGCATAGATGTGCGGCACATACTGGGCATTGGCCAGTTTTGAGGTCACCTGCCCGGCAGGCGAGATCTCATCCAGCAATGAGTGAAAGATCTTTTCCTGCACATTAATCTGCTGCAGAATTACAGCCACATTTGTGGGCCTGGTGATGGCCGCCAGAGCACCGCGTATTTTCGCCTTGCATCGCTGGATGTAGGCCTGGGTGAAGAAGACTCGCGGATTGGTCGCGTCTTGACGGCCCTTGATGATTTTGCCCAGGTGCTTCTCCACCACATCCTGCTGCAGAAACTCCGAGGGCAAATCAAACTGAGAGGCCAAATCGGAAATGGATATTTCGCCACGCAACGCAAGCTTCTCATTGATCTCCTGGGCAATGTGACTGATGTAGTCCTCGTCGATTAGCTGGCCCAGCACCAGATGCACCAGGGGATTCTCAGCCGCAATGCGCTCGGCCAGTGCCACAATTCGGGACAGATCCACATTCAACGTCCTGCTAACCTCTACCAGATTGGCGCGGCCTCCATTCGCATACAGCTCGTCCTGGATCTCGCGCTCCAAGTGATCTGGCGTAATGTACTCCTTGCCATCGTTGGTGAACACCACCTCCAGCAGCTGCTTTTCCAGCAGCAGCGTCACAATCTCCACGCAATTGCGTTCGGAAAGCCTTTCAATGATAAATGTAGGAGGGTCGAATCAAGTGATACTAAATTCCAATTCGCGTACTTACTTCTGCAGTGTTGAGGTAAGCTGGGCTTTCTGAAAGTCCGCTGCCAGACGCTTTATCTCATCCCAGTCGCTGCCCATTTCTATTTGATTGCTAAATTAAGTAAATATGGAAATCTAAAGTGGAAAAACTTGAAACGTCAACAAAAGTGCACGCAGTGTGACCGCAGGAGGCAATCAGAAGTCTTCCATTTCAAAAAAATTTGTATTTATGGTATTTAGGTATATATATATTGGTGATCCGCATATCGAAATTGTTGCGCGATTAATCCATCGCCGACTAGTGGGTGTTGAAATATTCTCCACGAAAATGATGAAACTTGAAGTATTTTAGCGCAGTTAAGGTTATCTTTCACCTTTGTGGTCCTTTTTTAATCAAAAATAAGTGATAGGATGTACCTGCAAGAGTAATTATTATTAATATTATTAGTATAGTTTTCCGCGGCTTAACTAAAGTTGTTATACTGTTTAAATAAAGGAGGTTTAAGTGGGTTTTGGTATATTTACGGTATGTTTTTTTAATGAGACGGTATGTTTCGGTACTCTGTGGTCACACTGCTGTGGATGCAAAATAATGACGCTGACATCGACGACTGGGTTATTTTTGTTATAAGAGGGGACGTATAATGGATAATAATGTAGAACAAGGTCCAGAAAAAACGCCAACAGCAGTAAGAACAGGAACAGCATCCGCAGCCGCCGTAACAGCCGAAGCAATCAGTGGAACACGTAACGCCGGAGCAACGCCAGTGAACACCTTGGCTAACGCAAACTCAACCTTTTGGAAAAACAGCGGACGGAGAGTCCCCGGACGACCCAGTCCCAAAAGAGATCTCCCGCCCGGGTTCGCGGCGACAGGTCATCGACAGGCCATCGGCAGTGGCATGGTGTCCACCTTTCGAGACTATCAGCAGTCGGTGAGCGATGCCTGGGACACGGGCGACGACGAGTTCTGCATCATCAGCAGCACAGAGGCGGCAGCAGCAGCGGCCGCAGCTGGAGCCGGCGTTGGTAATTGCAGCTTATCGGTCTTATCGGTTAATTGGTTTAAATTGGTTTCCGGATTCCCTCTCTATAGACGGCACTCGCATATCGCGGCAAATGTCACAAACGGCGGCACTGAATGTGATTGAAACGCACTCGCGAAGCAATCAAAACCACAACACACCAAGGGCCAACGACTGTGGCAGTGCGGACCAGACCTCGAGCTCCAGAAGTACCCCGGAAGAGAATAGGGAAGAGCGCCGGCGATCGCTGCCAGACAGTAATGATAACAGGTGAGGCGCGTGCACAAATGGGAAGTTAAATAGAAAGTTCAGCGCTGCAAGAGTCGAGCAAGAGCCCCACAGTTGTTTAAACAAGTGCCAGGGGTGGGATGTGGGATGGGTGTGGGCCCGCATCTGTCCTTAGTTACTAAATGATGTAACGCAAGTATAATCGAAGATTCAGTTGTGAGAAAGAGGAATTGCACAGTGCAACTTTCTCCCATAGTCATGTGGACAGGCGTCGAAAAAAGTGCACCGCAGAGTGAACTGAATATTAATCGAATTGCCTTTCACAGATCACGTTTAAGAAACTATCCCGGGCGACCGCAACTGCAGAAGATCAGCTCCAACTCACAGGACGGCGAATATGAGACGAAAATTGAAAAGTTTCAGGTGCTACTCGACTCGCCGCAATTGGATTTGGTGGCCCTGAAGAAGCTCAGCTGGTCGGGAGTGCCTCGCAGGGTAAGCCCCAGTCCCAGTCCCAGCCCCTGTGATTGTGTGTGTGTAATTCAATTAAATTTCTCTGCCATTACACAGATGCGCGCCGTAAGCTGGCGACTGCTGTCGAAATATCTGCCCCCCTCGAGCGAGCGACGAATGGCGGTGCTGGAGAGTAAGCGTCAGGGCTATCAGGATTTGAGACACAACTACTTTAGGGTGGACAGCCAGGACGAGACACAGCAGGACACGTATCGTCAGATACATATCGATGTGCCGCGCATGAATCCACAGATACCGCTCTTCCAGCAGCAGCTCGTCCAGGAGATGTTTGAGCGTGTGCTCTTCATTTGGGCCATACGTCATCCGGCCTCGGGCTATGTGCAGGGCATCAACGATCTGGTCACCCCGTTCTTTATTGTGTTTCTGCAGGAGGCCCTGACGCCCAACACAGATCTCGAGAAGTTCGACATGTCCACACTGGCGGAGGAGACGCGCAACATCATCGAGGCGGATTCCTTTTGGTGTCTATCCAAGTTTCTCGACTGTATACAGGACAACTATATCTTTGCCCAGTTGGGCATACAGGAGAAGGTCAATCAACTCAAGGATCTTATACAGCGCATAGACGGTGAGTGAGTGATCATTGATAAGTGAGGAAATATAGATAGAGATATGATTGGAGATATGATAAGATAAACGTCTCTCTCGGGATAGATTTGTATGCTGTCTGATAACCTAAAGCCAAGCCATACAGCCATCAAAATGTGTGCCATGCCACTCCATGTTTTGGCCCCTAATTATCTTCATTAATTACATTTAATTGTGTTTTTTTGTTTGTTTATTTTTCCAGTAAATCTGCATCGTCACTTACAGACGCATGGCGTTGACTATTTGCAATTCTCATTTCGTTGGATGAACAATTTGCTGACACGCGAACTGCCCCTCCATTGCACCATTCGATTGTGGGACACATATCTGGCTGAATCCGATGGCTTTGCCCTGTTCCATTTGTACGTGTGTGCGGCCTTCCTGCTGCACTGGAAGGAGCAGCTAATGCAACAGAACGATTTTCAAGTGAGTTTCCAATAGAGAAACACGTTTTGGTTTTAGTGGTTTGTTAATTTATGGAACTTTTGCCCCTACACAGGGTCTCATGTTGCTGCTACAAAATCTGCCAACACATAACTGGTCCGATCGCCAAATAAATGTATTGCTTGCTGAAGCATTTCGCTTGAAGTTCACCTACGCGGATGCACCCAAGCATTTGGAAACGAAGAGTTGACAAAAGCGACACAAACAACATATATATACATACGTAACATAGAAATTAGTTTTACTACAACTTTTTGCGGAATATACCCACACACACACACACACATATACATACATCTAATAATTATATACAATTTGTTATTAGCCCTTCGTTCTTTGTTTGTTTTGTTTTTGTATCTTTCCACACCCCTCCCCGCATCACGTAGGCAAAACGTAAAACAAATTATATCGCTTTTTGTACATAAAGAAATCAAAATTCAAAATACAATTTTACACGTTCAACGGGCGCCCGGAAAGATGTTTCAATTGAAATTTGTCTTTTATAAAAACAAATAGAATCAAAAGGAGGCGAAAATTAAATACTTTTTCCATATGAAAACTCAAATTAGCCAACAAATAAAAAGCTACTTGCGTGCAAACGAGTACATATATAAAAATAAGCCAAGGAGTGTATAATTATTTCATCAGGGATCACCGATCCCTTCAAATCGATTAGTTCTGCCTTTCGGCTATGTGCTTTAGCTGCTTTAGCACCGTCTCCAGCAGCTTTTTCTTGTCGTTCTTTCGCACCAGCGAGAATATGGGCTTCTTGTCCGCTTCGCGTATCTTCTCGAGTATCACAATGATGGACTGCGGCTGCACTAGATGATAGCGATTCTCCTGCTTGCCATAGTCGTGGAAATATGTGCTCCACTCCTCCAGGATCAGTAGGTCCAACAGCTGTCGATTGCGCAGGAAATACTTGCTCAGTTCTCCCTCCTTGAGGCCCGGCACTGGCTCAGAGGCCGCAAAGAACTCGCACTGCATCAGATCCAAATTGATCTGGGTGAGGGCACCCGTGGATATCTGCTTGACATCCTCGTCGTACATGATCGAGTAGATCTTCTCCGCAATGTGCTCGAAGGTGCGACGACAGGCGGCCTGGGCAATGTGCGGTAGCTTAAAGGCAAAGCTGTCAAAGGTGCTTTTGAGGTACGAAATCATGTCGGTAATGAAAGCGGAAGCTATGCCCGGAGGCTCCACCAACAGCCAATCGTAGGCACTCAGCTCGAAGAACTCATCAATCTTGGAGCAGATGCGCAGGCCCACCTGCTTCTCGGCATCCTGGCGTGCCACATGGAACATGGCCGAGGGCGTCTGGGACACGCTCCTCTCCGTGTTGGTCATGTGACAGACGAACTCGTCGAGGAACGGTCCTGCCTTCTCCAAGTACTGCGTGTCGATGATGATCTGTATGAGCTGTGTCAGCGTGATGCTGGGCTGTCGGAACACCACGGACAGACAGCCGCTAAAGCTGCGGGTGAGCAGCAAATTGGCCGCCTTCCGCACCATGGCAGCCACCTCGTTGGGGGAGAGGGTCAGCTCTTCGGCAAACTTCATGCAGGCGTACATAAACTCTTTGGCCTGATGGTAGACCTCCGGCACCATGCGCGAGAAGGGAAACTTCTTCGGAAACGGCGCATTCTCCAGCTGCTCCGAGTGGAAGGGAAAACGCTCAATGATGCTCTCGTACTCCTCAACGTTTTGCACAACCATCGGCAGGAACTGCTCCTTGTCGAGGATGTCGCGAAAGACATGAACCCATCGTTGCAGCAGCACCTAAAAAAAGACATGTAGAATGTTTGAGAATACAATTCGTATGCTACTCACCTCGTTGTAATGGTCGCGCATGTTGTGCAGTAGCTCCCACAGAATGTTCACGGTGTAGCCGTAGCACTTGAAGGTGTTGATGGACAGCATGATGAGGTTCTTGATGCGCAGCAATATATTGGGATCGGTGCAGGAAGACGAGCTCATGCTGATCTCGTTGACAAACTTTGTCAGGGAGTTGGACCACAGCTCCTCTAGGTAACTGCTGGTTACCACATCCCCAGCCGTATTCTTGACATGATCCTCCACCACAAAGAAACCGACAATGGCGCAAATGTACGTTTTGTAGGCATCCAGGTTGTCGTGCATATTGGGTGGCGGTTGGAGCACCAACTTGGCCTGGTCGCGACGCTGCTGACGGTAATCCTTCTCGAAGTACTCCCTCTGGCCCAGTACCATGTAGATGTGCAGACACCGGTAGATGGGCGAGAAATCAATCAGATCCTGAGCACTCACATTGCCGCCATCGTCGTCGCCACCCGCACCGGCTGCACCGCCATTTGCCTGCTGCATGTGGTCTTTGATGATGGCATTTATGTCACGCTTTTGCAGCTCCTTGGTGTGGGTAATCGCCAGCTCGCCAATGCGCGGCGAGAACTTTCGGATGTTCTCCAGGAACTCGCGAAAATCTAAGGCCGAGGACTTGCGTATGTTTTCCTTGATGATTGGAATCTGGATCTGCATCTGAGTGGCAAAGCGGTAGTTGTGTCGCTTCAAACGCGACAAGTGCTCCGTTTCCAGGGTCTCCAGCGTGCGCAACGCCTGATAGTATTGTTTGTTCTTGGCCTGTTGTGTGAACTTCATGTAACACTCGAGGGCTGGCAGACAGGATTTGAGTGCCTCGATGGCACTGGCCAGATTGGATTCGATTTGACGTGCCCGCACCAGCTCATTCCCCTGTTGGATGAGTGAGGCACTGATCTGCCGTAGCGATGTGTCCAGCGAGTGCACTTCATCGTGCAGCTGCTTGGCCTGTGTTCGCACCTGCAACAGCTCCTGGATGGAATCAATGAATCCCTGGTAATACAGATTGCATATCCGTTCGATTTCCTTGTCATGGCTGCGTATCCGCTGATCTAATTGTTCGCTAATCAGTTTTGTATTATTGCCTGCGGATATGACCGAAAATTTCATTGGCCGAGGGCGTAAACAAATTGGTTTTCCGGTTAATGCAAACTTACCTTCTAGGATGGAGCGGAATGTGGGTCCCCAGTAGTCATCTACCGCTTCTATGTCTTGCACGGTCACCTTTGACATGGTTTTAAAGTCGTGTGGCGATTTTATTTAACAAATTTATGAATAATTTCCTTTTCTGCCTATTGTTTTTAAGTGTTGGTAACTGCCAGTAGCATCAGCTGTTCCATGCAGAACTGTACAGTACTGTTTTTTGGTAGAAATACACGTTCATGCAACAAGTTGTTGAATGTTTTAAAAACATTTTGTCTGAAATTACACCTGTAGTGTAATGTTTACTAGCTGATAATTGCCTATTAATAATTTGGTAATTGGCTTATGGCATGTCTGATCGTGATAGACCGCCGCCAAACAGCTGTTGCGCTTCAACTTTCACTTCTGGTGGCGGGTTGCTTTTGGGGAGCATTCCGCGTCTCTGTGTTGTTGGGGCCAAGCCGTTGGGAAGTTACGCCGAGATACAGTTATGTTGAAGTAATAGCAGCATAAAGTTTTGTACACGCACGCAATCACGGCCGCAAACAAAAGAACAAACATGGCCACCATAAGAAGAAGCCTCCACACACCGGAAGCAAAAACAGACTCTCAGCAGATCACCAACAACAATAACGATGGGAAGCAGCAAGGCAAGGAAGCCACCAAGACTGCCGAACCAAAGGAAAAGAGTGACCCCATGATATACATCATATTCGTATCGCTGCTCTTTGATTTGCTCGCATTCACCATCATTTTGCCGCTGCTTCCGTCGCTTCTGGAGTATTATCGCGTCAATGATAGTTCCGGTTTGTACAATGTGCTTACGGAGAGAGTACGCTGGTTCCAGCAGCTGCTGGGTGCCCCAGAGCGCTATATATCGGTGCTGTTTGGCGGATTCCTAGGCTCAATGTTTAGTTTCTTGCAATTTCTGGCCAGCCCGATTGTGGGAGGCCTTTCGGATTACTATGGACGCAAACCCGTTCTACTTGTGTGTGCGGTAGGTGTATGCTCATCTAATCTGGGTCAGCATATTGAATATTTTCTTTTATCCACCAAAAACACAGTCTGGCATTGCTCTCTCGTATCTACTCTGGGCCTGCTCCAGCAATTTTGCCCTGTTCGTCCTGGCACGTTTCGTCGGGGGAATCAGCAAGGGCAACATTTCGCTCTGCATGTCGGTCATCACGGATGTGTCTAGCGTGAAGACCAGAGGCCGCGGCATGGCCCTGGTTGGTGTGGCCTTCTCGTTGGGTTTCATTGTGGGACCGATGATTGGTGCCATGTTTGCCATATTCTCAAATAAATCAGCGAGTGGTGGAGCTTGGTTTGTGCTTCCATCCCTCTTGGCCCTGGGTCTAGCTCTGGGCGATCTCCTGGTGCTATCCTGCTGTCTGCGAGAGACCCTGCCAAAGGTGAGATCATTTGCTACTAAAACTAAATCTGTAGCTTCTATACAAAATTATTTTATATTTTCAGGAGAAACGTGTTAAGGAGATCTCCTCCGCCCTGTCCTACGGCTTGCAGTTGCTCAACGTCTCATCCATATTTAGGTAATTTGTGATTTAATTAGCATGTCTTGCAAACCAGTCGTGTGACTAAGTTAATTGAATTGCAACAAACCCGCTCGACTGGTCACCGGCCAAGCGTGACGCTTCGCTCGTTATCAGGCCGGGCACTTCAGCACGTTTGTTTGATTGTCTTATCAGCTGGCATTTGCTGGTAATTCCTTTGATTAAAACTAGTTACAAGGAAACACTTTCATACGATTACGAATGGATTTCCTAATAATTATTCAATTCACAGATTTGCTGCCATCAAAAATGTGCCCAAAAAAGATACGGACGCCTTGCGATCCATAGGATTGATATACTTTTTATATTTGTTCTTGTATTCGGGCTTGGAATTCACCGTCACATTCCTGATGTATCACAAGTTTGGTTACACCTCCATGGATCAGGCGAAAATGTTTCTCACAACAGGTGAAATGCATACCCTTTGAATATTTCATATTCTTTATTTATTAATCATTTATTTTGTAGGTGTTATTATGACTTTGATTCAGGGATCGGTTGTGCGTCGTCTTCCCGATGCGAAGATCAAGAGCTATGCCATTTTTAGTCTATATCTGATAGTACCCGCCTTTGTATTAGTTGGCCTAGCCGAGGGCAGTGGTATGCTCTACGCCGGAATGATTCTGTTCGCCATCTCTACAGCCTTTGCGGTGACCTGCCTGACCACCTTGGTTTCCAAGTACGGTAACGATGATCAAAAGGGTTCAGTATTAGGCATATTCCGTTCTCTGGGCGCCTTAGCTCGTGCGCTTGGCCCCGTGGTTGGCTCCATAGGCAAGTATAGATTACATTTTGTCCTGTTTTTATCTTAACTCTTAAATCATTGCAGCCTTTTGGTGTGTGGGCTCAAAAATCACATATATCGCCGGCGGAATCATGCTTCTTTATCCAGCCTTAGCTTTGCAACGGGCTCGCATTTAAATGCAACTAGAACAAAGTTACATATGCATTCTAGAGATTAACGCTAAACGCAAGTATTAATTGCACATTATACTTAATTTATTGTTTTTATGCAACAAGTATTTTATATTAAAATAAAAACACTTTTATACATGTTTTATAAAAAAACTGTTTATTTGAAATTTTATGAAACTAAAAGCTAGCTGATATGCTCACTTGTAAGCTGTCTGCTATGTCACTATCAAAGCTGGCTGAAATCCGCGGCCAATACAGTCCATAGGGTCCATTATGTGAGCGAATTTTGTCGGAGGTAAATTTGATCAAACTAAATATAAATCTATTATATTTAAGGTAAAGACAAGAGACTAAAACAGTTGCGAAAATTTCGAACCGGGAAAAGAAATTCTTTTCTAAAATGTCAAGGAAAATAACAGTGACGACGATGAATATAGTGATGGCTATGAATATCCTGAAGGCTATCTTATATGAAGAAAAATTCTATTCAATATTATTAAGACTAGGCAAGAACTGAAATAATGATCTCAAATAACGGAAAATATTAATAAGAAAACATCATCGGTATACTTACGAAATATTTTGAAAATGAGACGGTATATTTCGGTATATTTTATCGGTCACACTTTTGGGAGTGACTAAGAGAAGACATCGATGTTTTCGATGTTTTGAGAGCATGAAACATCGATGTTTTTTAAATTTTCCATTCATTTATATTATGTATATAAGTAAAAATAAACTTTGTAATTTTTGTGAACATTAAAATATGAAATTTATGAATTATATATCGTTTTAGGCAAAACTCAGTTTTTTACAGAGAATAAGCATAGGGGCCTAGTGGTGGCATAAAGTTTAGCTATGGTTGCGTTTCAGTTGCGTTTTTTCGATTTACAGAATATTTTATCCCTGCCCATGGTGTCAACTATCGCCACTCGTTAATGGTGGCGTAATAATTATGTCTGAGGGAAAGGAGCTAACATAAATACTTTAAAATAATTGTATCATTAGATCAAACATATTAATAATAGTGTAAATAGCCTATAAGATGCTTTGTAAGTAAAAACATCGATGTTTGAGAAAAAACATCGACGTCTGCTACACCCAAACATCGTTGTTAATATCGATGTTTCTCAAGCTAGTGACTAAGGTGTGTGTTTCGCGTAAGAAAAAATCATAAATAAATGCATTAAAAGCTTCTATAATTAGTCACTTTATACTGCACTAGTTTCCGCCTACTGGCCGCCAGATGTGACAACTGAAATAGCCCCCGAAATACTAGAAATTTGGACATAAAATTGATATATATTTTTCTTTTTCTTTACAAATACACCTACAAATGTAAAGTGTAAAAAAGTGTGTGAGCTACGACAAACGCATATAGAAATCGGCGGCGCGCAAGGATTATTGGATTTTACTTTAGACTCGCACACCAATCAAACGGAACGCAACCGGAGCTGCCAATAATAATTAAACGAAGCCAATTATATTAAAACAAACTTCAGCAAAATGGGTGCAAGAGAAGACGAATACGATTATCTGTTCAAAGGTAATTATAAACATGGCACACTGGTGTAATGTAATGTGTGTTGGTGTGTTCATAATTATGAGCTGGCTAGCCGGTGGCGGTCAAACAAGAGACAGTTAGCATAGGAGCAGAACACTCTCAGGCTCGGCTCCTCTCTGTCTTGTCTTCCATGGACACAATGACGCAGTAGCTCAATGGCACTAATTGAAACTAATTGGAGAATAACAAAAAATGCAGTGAATAAAACCACTCTTGTGTATGTACGTGTGAGTGTGTGTGTGTGTGGGAGTGCGTGCTTGATTAATTCCCAAAATAATTCTCTGAACCCAAATCACAGAAGTGTACGCCCCCTGCATAGCTGTCAATGATTGTTGTTGCCCAACAACTGCAGTTGGATGCCCTTTGCTTTCTCTCTGCCGCTCCTCTCCGCTCTTCCCACTACTAGTACTTAATGCCGTTAACTGTCTGTTTTGTCATTACGTTCCCGTTCCATTCCTCTCGCCACGTTGCATACGAAAAGCAAATCGTATTTATAGTCGTGATAAAAGCTCAAAGTACTTCTTAAAGCTGCTTCTTCTTGCAGTTGTTCCGAGTAGTAGTAAATGCTAAAATGCCCGCCCCCCCTCTCCTGACACAGCCACATCTTTTAGTTGATTAGATTTTCATTTGCCAGAGAGAGACAGGGAAAGAGAGAGTTTTCATGTGTGTGTGTGCGTGTCAGCTTTAATATTTCGTAGTGCTCCGGCTATTGTATTGAATTTTCGTAATTTCTTTTGCATATGTTTATTTTGTCTCTCCGAAACTTCGCCAGAGAGCGCCGCTTAGCGAATGTTCAAGCTGCGCTTTAGGTTCGCTGCTCGCACAGTGGTCGGAGATCCATTGTACATACGCAGCCCTTTTCTGTTTCTCCTGTCACTCAACAAATTCAAACTTCCCACATCTCTGTGTGTCGCCCCCCAGTTGCGCTCTTTGTATACTTTCCGTTTATGTTGTTTGGGGTCATCAATTCTCTGTTCTCCTTTGTTCTCTTCGTTTGCCCTGCTCAAGCTATTGCGCCGCTGTAAATTCCAGTTGCGCTTATAAGAAACCTGGAAGTCTATCGCTAGTCTAGCTTTAGTATACGGATTTCCTTAATGGGAGAAAAAGCTAATTTAAAGATGTTTTCCAGAGCTTTGCAAATCTTATCGTTTCTTTTTTTTGGGTTAAGTATCCAAAAAAAAAACTCCCTATACAGTCCGATAAGTTGCGTCAATAAATGATATGCATGATGAGGCCCTCAAATTTCACACATAGCAATATTTGCCATGCCATCACATGAGTCATGACGAACAATAATTTACTGTAAAGGAATGCCACTTTCCGATAAGCCCATAATCACATAACCACTGCTGTATAAATGATTCGATATATGAATGTATTTCTCCACTAACAAGTAACTGCTTCGTTAATTTTTAGCACTTCCGTTTAAACTCTAGTGTAATTTCTCTTTGGGCCCACTTCAAGATCATTAGCGAGATCGAAAGAGAGTAGGCGACAATGACGCATTACTGGCGCTCTCTTCGGCCATACTGATAACTGTAACCAGGCTATACATTGTCCAGAGAGGGTCAAGAGAGAGCGTGATATCACAAAAAGGTGTTTGATACGTTTTTGTTATTGTTTTTTCATTAAACTAAAGCAAACAGTGTGCCCGTGCGCTTATCAAATAAATTTGAAAAAAGGCGTCAAAAATAAAAACTAGCTGACGGGACAGTGACATGTGTACATTTTCACGATAATAGTGTTATTTCTGTAAATGGTTTTGATGGGAAATGATTGCGAATATGTCTGTTTGATCAGCTTTTTATAGATCCTGAATATCCGGAAGCTTTTGCTTTTTTCCATATGTATATAAATTTTCACTTGAAAAAATGTTGTAGTTTATTATCTCTATTAGGTAGGAAATAAAATTCCATTATTCTTTCACTTTTAATTCCATTGCCCATCGCCCATTAAATTTTGCAAGAAATGTTTCCTTCAACGAATTTCATTGAACGTCCCACAAAACAATCAACATTTTCAATGCCCGCTGCTGCCGAACGTCAACTCCCACAATAATAAAACATTTGTTTTCATGGCCCGAAATCCCCAAAGCATAGCAATTTTTATGTATTTGCTGACCTTGGGGCCGCCCCAATGGCAGCGGGAGAGTCAATACGAAGGAGGACATGACCTAGGATTGCCGGGTTGCTAGGCCAGCAGAGTCAGCTTGTCCGACCATAAAATACAAGACACGACACGGAATGTGCCACCATGCCATTATGCAACTGCCACCCGAATGGTTGGGGAGGGGATTTCACCAAGATTACCCAATGCCAGAGTGTCGCTAATGCTTTATAATCCTTTGCAGTTGTCCTTATCGGTGACTCGGGTGTTGGCAAAAGTAATTTGCTTTCACGTTTCACGCGCAATGAATTCAATTTGGAGTCCAAGTCGACAATTGGTGTGGAGTTTGCAACGCGCAGCATAGAGGTGAGTACGAGAGGATGTGTGTCGTGGCCAAAGGGGCAGCAGCAGCAGCAGCACAGACCTCTCTTACGGGGAGTGTGCGTGTGCGTTTCACTAAAGGACACAGTGGTACCAACTGTTGAAAAGATGAACAAACAAATACTCTACATTATTGGCTTTAAATTGAAAGAGAAAATCGTGAAATCCTTTAAATAGTTTCATACAGATACAAATTATAGTTGAGCTGAGGAAAAACTCAATGTTGGCATCACTGTGTTGGAGGTTGTTTATTGATTTTCAAAGCGAAACTGCTACAGCCCCGAAGGATAACTTGGCCAAATTGCCAATTACCGTCCATCATTCTAACCTTTCATGCTTGTCTCTCCCACCCTCTCACACCCCCACCCCCAGGTCGATGGTAAGACTATCAAAGCGCAAATCTGGGATACGGCTGGCCAGGAGCGCTATCGCGCCATTACCTCTGCCTACTATCGCGGTGCTGTTGGAGCTCTGCTGGTCTATGACATTGCCAAGCATTTGACGTACGAGAATGTGGAGCGCTGGCTGCGTGAGCTGCGCGATCACGCCGATCAGAACATTGTCATAATGCTGGTGGGCAATAAGTCCGATTTGCGACACTTGCGATCGGTGCCAACGGACGAGGCGAAACTTTTTGCCGAGCGAAATGGCTTGAGTTTCATAGAAACATCGGCCCTCGACTCGACGAACGTTGAAACGGCATTCCAGAATATACTCACAGGTTAGTAGGGGGAGATCCTATCCTGTCTCTCTACTCTCTGAACTTGGCTAATAAAATGCTTGTGCTTTGTTTGTGTTTTCAGAGATCTATCGTATTGTGTCGCAGAAACAAATCAGGGATCCGCCGGAAGGCGATGTCATTCGTCCGTCGAACGTGGAGCCCATCGACGTTAAGCCGACTGTCACAGCTGATGTACGTAAGCAGTGCTGTCAGTGACCGCCCCAAGCAACACCACCCGCAACCGCCAGAACAGAAACATTAACAAAAGCAACAACAATTACAACTACAACTACAAAAACAGCAGAAGCAGCAGCGGAAACAGCAATAAGAGGTGAACAGCATAGGAAGATATGGATTGGATAGGATATGTCGTTCAGCCACAGCCACTAGCAGTTTGTCATATATGCATAAATTGATAATTCAAATCACCAACACCAAGAAAAAAACAACAACACCAACATCCGGCTGTAGTTAACTGCGGTTTAAACTGAAGTTTTATATATATATATAAATATCGCATAAAACGATCCAATCATCGTCGATGCATGAAAAAACGGATAAGAAAAGAAGAAAAACTAAACACTCCAAAATTCAGTTTAAGCTGTAGAACTATAATTTATAAAAATATACATATATGCTAATATTAAAAATATTAATATTATTAATTTTTCGCAACATAAATACATAGTTGTAATTTTTCGAAAAACAAGAACAACAAAATCTTCGATTGAATGTTCAAAAAATCAGAAAATAATTTCCCCAGCACTGCAGCTCGGCCTGGCACTAGTTTATTGCCGATATTTTAGCCCTCCCCCCCCAACACCCATCTGAAATCAATTGCAGAATTAATTACTTTAACTTTTCAGTTTTCACAATACATTTCAATAATTGGCCTATATAAAAGCAACTTTTCAAAACTAGCTGATAAACGAAACATAAAAACAGTTGTAAAACTTTAAATGCATAAATGAAACGAAATAACATCATTTGTGTTTGCTATGTTAAGTGTGATTAAATAAATATAATTTAAATAAAAGAAACACCAGCGAGCGCTCATTTCCAAAACATCAATTCAAATTTCAAACCGATTTTCACTGTTTGACTGTAGTTTTCATTTTCCACCAGTGGTCTGATAGGTAGTCATTTATTTAATCAATCTATTAAACTTCATTAGATTAAATTTCAATTCAATTTCAAAAAGGGTATAAAAAACTTCCATACGCATGTTTTTTTTTTAATCATTTATTGCAATCCAATAAATTAGGGTCCTTTAAATTAACCAATCTTGTAGAAACAAATATTTTCAGTAGTGATTGTCCTATTTAGCTAGTAATATCAAGCCGAATATCAAAATCAAAGAATATGGCTACAACGGAATCAAACGGTTAACCCATTGTCGTCCGGTGGGTATTAAAATGCGCCCCATGAAAATTATGAAACTCGAAGAATTTTAGCGCAGTTCAGGTGAAAGATATCTGCAAAACATTTTTTTGTAAGAAAGATCCATTTAGTGGATGTACAAGAAGAATTTACACACCACTTGTTCAAATTGAGGGGGGCTAGGTGGGTTAAGTCCGTTTTTTCATCGGTATATTTTATCGACAACACGTGCTAGCCGGAATAAGACAAAAACATGGGACGCGGGAAGAAAAAAGTGCATCCTAAGACGCGTACAGCTGCTTTTAAGGCCAGCGAACCGAACGAAGTCGTTGAGGCTCCCCACTCCTTTGTCATACATCGAGGACTAACATGCCCGTATATCACAGACCTCACACTGGACTTTCGGCGCATCATGGAGCCTTTCACGGCGACCAACCTGCGGGAGTCTCGAATGAATCGCATCAAAGACTTTGTCAGCCTGAGCAGCTTCTTTCATGTCTCGCACATGACCATCTTCAACAAGGCATCCACACAGTTGTCCTTCAAAGTGGTGCGCCTGCCACGAGGTCCTTCGCTGACGTTTAAGGTTCGTTTGTCGTGCCCCTATGCATTTCCATTATAAACTCGTACGACATATTCAACAGGTCCACCAATTCACTCTGGCCCGAGATGTCATTTCTCTCGCCAAGAAGCAAATGATTGACAGTGATCACTTCAAGCAAGCTCCGCTGGTCATCATGAACAACTTTAGTGGCGATGGCAATCATCTGAAACTGATGGCCAGCACATTTCAAAATATGTTCCCGTCGATTAACCTGAATACAGTCAACATTGGCACTATACGTCGTTGTGTTCTGTTCTCGTATAATCCTGACACGAAGCTGGTGGAAATGCGTCACTATTCGGTGGAAGTTGTGCCCGTGGGTCTGAATCGGGCGGTTAAGAAAATTGTCACAGGCGTCGTTCCGAACCTGAACAAGTACAACGATATCGCGGACTTTGTTGCGAGGTGAGGATTCGACAGTGCACAGCAGGGGGTAATTTTCATTCATGTCTTTTCTTTGTAGAGATGGAAATGCATCTGAATCGGAGGCGGAAGATGACGAACAGACGCATGTGGTGCTAGCGCAGACACTCAAGAGCGGTGGAAACTTAGAAGGAAATAAGAGTACCATAAAGCTGCACGAGATCGGACCACGTCTGACCATGCAGCTGATTAAAATCGAAGAAGGACTCTTTACCGGCGAAGTGCTGTATCACGACCATGTCGTGAAGACGGAGGATGAAAAGGAAACGCTGCGCAAGGTGATTGAAAAGAAAAAGAAACTTAAGGAGCAACGCAAGAAGGAGCAGGCTGAGAATCGGGCACGCAATTTGAAGATAAAGAAAGACCAGAAGTGGGCCGCCAAAAAGGAAGCAGATGGAGTTGAAATCGATTCTGATGATGATGCCGAATACTACAAACAGGAAGTGGGAGAGGAGCCAGATGAAGGTAACATGGTCATCATATTAGAAGCTATCACATTAACGTTTTTTTTTTTTGCAGAGCTCTTCAAACATGAGGATAGATCCTCTCGTAAGCGACACAGTCTGCCCGGCGGCATGAAGTTCAAGAATAAGAAGGCAAAATTGGACACCAAAAACGATAAGAAAGAAAAGTTCGACCCCAAAAATAGGGGGAGAGCAAAGTTTGACCCCAAAAACAATAGGAAAACCAAGTTTGACCCCAAAAAGAATAGGAAATCAAAGTAGTATTTTAAATAAAAACTATTTTCTACACATTTTTTTGTTGTCTGAGAATCTTAACAATGAGCATTTTTTAAAACTAGCTAAACATTCTTTGTACGACCTCCTTGTAGTGGGCCTTGCTATCCTTCCAGCTGGCGGCAATTTTGTCCCGCAGTTTGCTGAACTCTCGCTTCTCCTCGTAGTCGTGCACGCGCTCTATGGTGGCCTGTGCCTTGGCAAACTCCTTCATATGATAGTAGGCCAGGGCGCGACGGTAAACACTCTTCTCGGTGGGGCTCTCTGCCCGCTCCACAAACTCTGTGTGATAGATAACGTGCTCGTAGCGCTCCTCCTGCAACATGCATGCGGCCAGGTTGGTCTGTAGCTGAACAAACAAAGCCTCCACGGTGGTGCCATTGATGCCGTTGGACTTCTTGGTGAGTTGGTCGAAGGGTTTGTATGTGATAAGCAGCTTTGCGGCCCGCGCAAAGTAATCAAATGCAAATTTCGGATAGCTCTTGAACATGGCCACGCCACTCTCCTTGAAACGCAGTGCAAGCTCGTAAATCTCTGCCGCGTTTAGCTTGTGCACCTGGGGGTTCTTAACAATCAGATCCAGCTTCAAATCAAACTCGATTCGTTCGCCGGTCTTGCTGGTGATGCTGCAGGCGGCGGTTTCCCCTGGCATGAATTGCTGCAGCAACATCTCCACATAGCAGTCCACGGGCGTCGTGGCAGTCCCCATTTCCAAGGTATGTTGCTGGGGAAATGTCAAGGACTCCTCGCCACCCAGATACTTACTAGGCCTGTCCTCCAAATTGGCGCATTTGTTGTTAACGCTAAATAGCACTGTGCTGGCAGCCATCGGCTTTGCCATATCTGCGAACTCCAGGCTAAGTACTTTCTTGCTCAGGCCGCGTTTCTCGTCCTTCCATTCTGTGCCAATGTACCAATCCATCTTAATAGAGCGCAAAAGAAAAGAGTTTTGACTTGCAATATGTTAAAAGAAAACCATTCGAGCAGTGTGGAAAAAACGAACTTAACCTACCTAACCCCCCTCAATTTAAACAAGTGAACAGCTTGAGTTAAGCCAGGACAAATATTACTGTATTTAAATTCTTCTTGCAGATCCACAATTTCTCTTTACTTACAAAATATGGTCACGATATCTTTCACCTGAACTGCGCTAAACTTCTTCAAGTTGTATAATGTTCGTGAATACCGACTGGACTACATGGGTTAATCGTTCTCCGTTCATGTCGGAAGTCATATTCCTTGAATTTGATATTCGGCTTAATATTACTAACTGGCTAGGACTATCAGCACTGAACACATAATTTTATCCGATGGATAAATCAATTTTCTATATGAACGATTATACCTTCAACTAAATTACGTCAAAATATACAAAAAAAAAGTAAAATAAAAATTTACCGACATTAGACTGGTCAAAAAATGTAAAAAGAGCTGCCAGCGTGCAACAAATCGATGTGTAGAGTTACATGAATTTTACATCAGGGCTTATTGTCGCCCCCACTGAGATCAGCGGTCGTTTCTCGAAGTCCCAGAAACAGTTATTTAATTTCTTCATGTGAAAATTTTCCGATTTCAAAGCTTTTTTTTCTGCTTGATCTGAGAATTTTCGTTGGGGTGATTGAGTTGTTTTGCATAATATATTATTATATTATATATAAAAACAACTTCAATCAGATCTGTCGCTACACATGGTCTTACCCTTTTGTGATCATTTACAAACAAGCAATCAACCGAAATTAAAGAAAATTCCAATACAACTTTGTATACACGTTTTTTTGTTGTTTTATTTCTAATTATCTGTAACCTATTATGCCCATTCGCGCAATACGCAGTTGCTCTGCCATCGTATAACAAGCTGCATTCCATACACTAAACAGTTTTACAAATATTTTGGAGTATAGTATGTTTCATATTTCAATCAACTTTTTTTGTTTTGTTTTTGTTTTTTTTTGTAGTAAAACGTTATGTACATACATTAGTTAACGCGGAAGCAGCAATCGTGAGGGATCAGATCAATTATCATGTATCAAGCATTGGAACTTAACTTACAAATAGCAATACATAAAATAAAGTAAAAGTATCCACCGATCACACTCAACGATCTATACAGATAGATAGACAGATATTCATATATGTATAGTATATTGTAGGTATATTGATGAAACGACCTGGAAATTTTCTATTTTCTACATACATCAGTATATTGCTATAATCTATAGTTATCATATATCAATCAATCAATGAATCGGTTATATATATTGCAGTATAATAGAATTAGTTTCCTCTCGTGTATTCCATATGCATTTTTAGTTGTATTCCACCGAATGCAGACGGACACTACCAGACACCTTTTCATGTCTCCTCTCACACAAAGAGTTTAAAATATGGTATATTGTTGAGTAGACTTAGATTAGATTACAATATTTGCCAATGGGAGTACTAAGCTTAACTTTAACTTTACATTTAACAGAAAAAATTACAATAGGCAATAGGCATACATATGTATATTTTTAAGTCACAAATGTGCTTTGCGAAAAACCAAGGGAAAAGCATGTTTTGCCAATTCAAATGAAGCGACACTAACTAAACATTAAATCTAAGGACTAATTCCTCTGTTCGGTCTGCAGATTCCTTCTGTGTATCGAAGATCCATTCGAGTACACAGTTTTTCCCAATTTCCTTAAGGCCGTTCCGCGTGTGCGTGCCCTCGGGCTGGCTAATAGTATAGCTGCCAGAGCGCAATGCAACTATTTGTGTATTTGAGCTAAATAAACACTTAAATTAACACGGATCTCGATGCCGATCGATGCACCGATCCAATGCACAATATATATATATATATGTATGTATGTATACTATAAAGACTGACCCTCAAATGTGTCTTACAGCGCCTAAGTCACTAATACATATTATTCCGTTCCGTTCCGTTCCGTTTCGTTCCATGTTACATTCGTACATTACAAACCTTACAGCCAGTTTTGCAAAAATATCTTTATATATATATATGTATAAATATTTTGTATTTGTATTTGTATACTCCTTTTGGATTTATTGTGGTTGCTTTTTATACTTTTTCCTTTTATAACTTCATTTAATTCATATTATGCGTGGGTGTGTGTGTAGTGTGTTGTGTGTGTGATTTATGTATGCGTGTAAATAGACTTTCGGAGATCGCTGTATTTGGGGTTTCAGCATTACATATTCTCAGATAGACAATTGAGTCTCTCAATGCTGTACTCTGTTTTTTTTTTCTGCTGGCTAATTATCATTCATTCATTCATCGTAATCATCAAAGTTTTCAATATCTATATCGTATTCATAATTCTCCAGATCTATATCGGGATCGAAATCAGGGTCCGAGTCTGTATCGTCGGGATCTCTATTCCATCGATTTCTCCTCCTCGCTTCCAAATGCATCTGCTCATCCGTATCATATCCATCGTACTCGTCCCCGTCGTCATCGTCACCCGACGACAGTAGATGATCCTCGCGCCAATGCCGATTAACATACTGTTAATGTTCCATAAGGGCCGCTACAACAGCAATCAGCAGCAACAACAACAACAACAACAACATCAAAGAAAATAAAACACAAAGAGATTTTGTTATGCATAATTCAAGAGATCAAATGAGGTGAAAGTCTTACGTGACGGCGTTCGGCCGGTCTTATTCTCATTGGGTGTGAAGTTTAGAAAGTCCCAAATCAAAATTGTATCATCGTGCGAGCTGCTGACAATTTGGAACTCGTCGAATTGTAACCGAAAGACGCGACCAGTGTGTTCCTAGAAGGTTTCAGTATCGACCATAGACTGGCAATGTTGAACAAGGGATCGTGACCTCTCCACTTACCACAAGTGTGTTTAGACAAAGAGTGTTGGAGGCAGCTCTCGGATCCAGGGCAGCCACCAGATCCCACACCTTGATCTTTCCATCATAGGCACCGCTGACAATGCGTTTCGTATCGAAACGGATGCAACGGACAAGCTCCTCGTGGCCCTCGAGGACCCGCAGGCAAGCGCCGCATTCAATGTCCCAGAGTCTGAGGAAACGAAACACCCAATCGATAATGAATAAGGGAAGACTTGGAGAAAGTGCCATCTCTCACCTAATGGAATTATCTGAGCTGCCGCTTACAACCAAACGATCTCTATATTGCAGGCAGGCAATGCCACGCTTGTGGCCATTCAAAGTGCGCACGAATTCACAGCTGGAAGTGGACCACACCTTGATGGTGCGATCCCCGCTGGCAGACACAATATACTTCTCATCAAAGTCCACCACATTGACGGCGGCCCGATGGCCGACGAGTACCCGACGCAATGTTATCTCGCTGGGGGAGGTCATGTCCCACACGGCAATGGATCGATCCTTGGAGCAGGTCACCATCATGCCATTGTTGAATCGCAAGTGTAGCACCGCTTCGCAGTGATGAATGAGTGTGTTGACCATATCCCCAGTGTTGACGTCCCATACGCGCACCGTCGAATCGCTGGAGCCACTGATGATCACCTTGTCGTCATACTGCAGGCATAGCACCGATCCAGTGTGTCCAGTGAGGGTCTAAACGAAAACAGAAAGTGATGTTCGTGAGTCACAAAAAGAGGGAAAACTAATTAAGGAGTTTCCACCCTTCCACACACACCTTGACGCACTGCAGATCCGTGCGATCCCAGATCTTGATGGTGTTATCCCTTAGGCCGGACACAATCTTTCCATCATCGTACTGGAGGCAATAGACACCCTTGGAGTTCTCGGATCGACAATTGATCCGTCGCAACATGTGCCGGCCAGTTCTCCAGTTATTCTCAATGCTGTCAATGTCCTGCAGGCATCACACAAAATGGGATTATAGTCGGTTACAAAAGCCAGACATTGGGGCATCACTTACGTTCATTATTTTGGGGAACAACTCGCGATGGAATGAGTGCGGCCTTTGGGTCTGGCCTGGCCGTGGCTTGAATAGATACTGCATCCAATTGCGCCGCTCAGCCAGGCCCCGCCACAACGAATCCGTTCGGACCTTCCGTTCGATGAGCTTCTTCCACAACATACCCTCGGAGATGACGCGCAGCCATTCCTTGCAGACCAGCTCGGCTGATTTGAGCGATTCGGCATCCACATACGATAAAATGTTTTCGGCAATGTGATCCAGACCCTTGACTGCAATTTGTATACAAAAGTGATTAGCATTTACTCTACTCTACGCATGAAACCCCAATTAGTCGTCTAATTAAGTTATTTCTAGTTGCAACCACTTAGTATCTGTGACAGATCTAATCTCTCATATGCCTCCGCTGCTGTCGAGGTGATGCAATGGGTTATGGCACACCAACAGCATTTTGGTTGCACCCACACCCACGCACACACATCAGCCATCAGCATTCAGCCATCCACCATCCATCCATTGACATACAAGACACAAAATGATGCACCTAACGGCATTAAAATGCACTTAGTCTAGGGAGTGGAGAGCTGTGGAGGAGGCCCCAACCAATAGAGCGACATATTTACATGTGTCATGTGCAGACACACGCACACACGTTGCAAGGAGCGGCGGGTGGGTTGTTTGTGTCGCCAGACACATCTGCTGCTGCATTGACAACCCAAACCCAAACCCAGACCCAGACCCAAACCCCAAACCCCAAACCCAACCCGGCTGCGGCCCAGAGTCTGAAGTGCATATTCGCTCGCTGCATTTGCCAAACACAATTAAAAATGTGCATAACTCGTAGCTATGATGGGCGCCGCAATGGGTGTCGGGTTGGCTCAAAGTTGGCGACGCCGTCTAACGGTCTTGAGAGCGTCTAACTGTCTGTCTTTCGGTCGCTCCTGATGTGTGCCTGCCTGCCTGCCTGGTTTAGCTGCCTTTGAAGTGCATTACAATGTAAATAGAGAAGACAATGTTGCATATTTTCAACTCTTTTTCCTTTTCTTTTCTTCTCCGGCAAGGAGGACATTTACTGAGGCAAGGAAACATTCAACGACTTCCTCAAAGAACTTTTGCCATGGTCTGGCCTAGGACAGGCGGTGAAAGGGCCCTCCCAGAAAGAAAGCTGTCTATTCAACGATAACATTCACTCGGCCCCGGCCTCGGCCCGGCTACTCTGCCTGCAAGTAGAGTGATTTTCGCGAGTGGCATTCCTGTAGGCGAGCAGCCGACCAGCAAAAGCTGTGGGCCGCAGTTTTAATCGATAAAATGGAAGTGTTCACAGGAAGCAAGCGACAAAACGGTGCAGTCACCTGACATGGCCAGGATATACCTATAGATGTGTATGTATATCGGATGCAATTTTTGATTTACATTTCCCCAAATTTTTTTAATATGAAAATTCTTTTATTGAATCCATAAATTCTTCATTCCAACAGTGGCCATTGTCTGCAGCTTTTTGTTAACTTTATTAATCATCGATTTGCACCTCATCTGGCATACAAACTCGATATATATATATATATGTTTTAAACCTGTTTATCAAATGCATTTGCAATTGCAATTGCAACTGCAACTGTTCCCCAATACCACTTTTAATTGCTATTCGTTAAACATTATTATCAAGCCAATAATAGCACAAAATCGATTCACATTTTCTTATGAATAATATATAAGGTTTGCTCCCGGTTTCGTTTTGTTTTTGTTCCGGTAAAGCGCGTTTAATGGAAGCAACGACCTTTCAGTCAACAGCAACTTCACTCTGGACTCCACCCTCCCCTCCTCATCCCCACCGACAGCTCCAAAAGCATGCCCCGCAACAAAAGCAGCAACAATCGGGTTCAGTGAGAGGAAGAGAAAGCACCAGGGCGGAGGGGTGGGGGGGCCTCACCCCTGAGAGAGAAGTTGAGTTCTGTTCGGGGTTTACCTTTCATGTTGTTCAACTTTGTTCCTACAATTCACATGAATGTACCCTAACAGAGAGGTGTATTACGAAACGGAAATGCTCTGTCCCTGTGCCCATAGCAACAGTCCATCGAACACACACACAAGAATATTACAATGGTTCATTTAAATATTAGAAATTTGCAATCTTTGATCCATTCTCTGCGCTACACGACTGTTTTTGTGGCTATCGAATCTGAAAGGGTGTCTAAAGCTTCGTCGTAAACAGCAGCCATTATTCCTATGGCGTGTCATGTGATGAAATTGTAAAACCATTAAACTCTTGAAAATTCAATGGGTTCTGTTCTACAACCTGGCCTGCTATTATCGGTGGCGCTGGCTTATCAGTTTTTTTTTTGGCTTAGCCAGTGTCATCTCTGGGGAGTACTGACCTCTCCAAAACAAATCATAATAAATTAATAATTGTTCATAGATTAACTTATATGTGAATGATGCATAGTTGGGGCTTCCCAGAAACCTAGTAGATTGTATCTGCGATTCCCAGAAGGAGTTCCAATTAAATCATTCCACCATTCCCTCCCTATCTCTAGAGCCGAGATATGGTGGCAGGATGATAGATACTCACTTGGTAGCAATGTGATAAAGTCCCGCTGTAGCATTGGCTTCAGATACGCATTGATCTGTCCGTGTTGATAGTGGCACATGCGCGATAGCAGCTGCTCCACAAAGTCCACCTGCCCCGACTCGCTCCACTGTGTGAAATATTGAAAGCAGAGTTCCCGCTCTGTCTGATATGTGGGCGATGAGTCTTTCTTGCGCACCGGATCGTACAGCATTGTTGTGGTGAACTGTTCGTTCGGTACAGTGCAGAACGGTAGATAAAGACAGAGAGAGAGAAAAGAAGGAAATTAATTATGAAACAACATTTGTTTGTAGCTACGAGACGAGTATATATGATATGATATGAAATGATATGATATTTTTTCTTGCCACAATGTCAAGGGGGGGGCGCCTCGTAAAAACTGAACAACTAGGTAGACGACTCGCCTTTGGAGGGAGTTGTGCAACATTTCTGAGATTTTATTTCTGTGTATTTTTTTTTTTTGTCCATTTCTGTGACTGTTTTTGGGGCAAGCAAAGCGTCGAACGACCCAAAGTTGGGGCTTACAATTAGGCAATTAGTTTGAAGCTTGGAGTTTCTTTCTTTTTCGTAATCTGTTTCTTTGCTTTTGGTTTTGTTTTTGTTTTTATTCGGGGGCTACGAAAGAGTTTGCAAAACGCAAAAAAACGCAAACAAAAACGCCAGGCTAGACAGCCAGCAGCAAATCATTCACGCATGATATTTATTTATGAAATTAGGGATATTCTCTTCTCTAAATATAGTCGATACATTTATCAGACGTCATCACATGGAAGATTTGATTCAATTCGAACACAAATATGATCTTCGCCACAAAAACAAATTGTGTAAACAAATCGGACGAAACGAAACGAAACGAAAAGAAACTTGTGTGAGTGATTTGGATAATTAAGTTAACTGCAATGTCAGCAATTATAAAACCTTGCCTGTGCTTTATAGGATAGAGTGTATTACTATATATAGTACATATATGATGTATGTTTGTAATTGCTTTATTATAGTTTCTGTTCGCTTTAGTTGTTTGCCTTATGCTTGAAAGTTTTTTAGCTTAAATTTTGGAAGAGGTTTTATGGAGTCTACTGGTAGCTGCTGCCTTGATAAAGTGGGTTAAAGGCAAGGATATTCTACGAAAATAGATAGCCAAAATTAAGCATCATTAAATTAATTGCCTTTGCAAAGATTCCACCTTGATTTCGGCTTAAAAGCCGAGAGCCCAGAGCCCAGAATGACTCAGGCAAACCACCATTTTCGACACAGGTAATGTACAACATAATACACACAGCATTTAGTGTTGTGTCTGGTATCTGTGCGTGTACTGACCTTCAGTAAAAAGCCTACATATCGCACTTACTCAAGATCTACTATATTGAAATATAGACAGCAATCGGATCGCATGAATGAATGTACTATGTACTATGCACATTGAGTATTGTTTAATATTAATTGTGTAAACAAACTTGAACGTAACAAGGCCAATCAAATAAATCTGAAATCTGGTTAGGCCTCTGTTTGAGAGATCGGAAATTCGGACAAGAACGAAATGAAAGAGAGATGGTGGTAATGCTACAGCAGATGATGATGATGATGATGGTGACGCTGAATAATTGGGCGAGCGAACTTTCGTATGAGGCTGAAAAGTTTAAGGTTAGCACATTTAAAAGAAAATCAAAAAAAGCGACAATGTCTGAATTTAATAGAGTGCACGAGTGCAAAATCTGTAGTATATACGAAAATAAAGCACAAACGCACACTCTGGCATTTAAAGAAGCATATACATACATGCATATGCATATAAATATATATACATATGTATATATATATGGCGGTGTGTGTATGTGGAGGCGACACCTTGAGCATTTATGCATATAAATGTGTGTGTTGGGTTGGAGAGAGCATTGCATATATGGGAAATCGTTGCCTATATCGATGGCGCTTACGCTTACTCAATCCATATACTTTCGGGGTCTACTTACAGCTTGGGCATTGGAGTTGGTCTCATCCATTATTTTGTCCGTGTCCATTTTCATCATAGTGTTGTTGTGTTTGTTGTATTTATAAGTTACTGGCTGTTTGGGTTTGGTTTTCGCCTGCACACACTCACTTGCACGATTATGGGATTATTGCTTGTTTGCTATTGGTTTTACTTTACGTTCAACGCGATAGCACAATATGTAAATTTAATATAGGTTTTAATTGCTTTTTTTATTTCTTGAGAGAAAAACTACATGTAAGTATGACCACAAGTTGGAACCGCCTAAATGGCAAATTCACATCACTAAGAAATTTTGTGCTTCTCGTTGCAAGTCATTCATTTTACTTGGGCTCTATAGCTGGGCCCGTTTTCGGGGATTGGTCCTTGCATTTTCTGAACGCGAAGCCGATTTAAACCGTGCTTTGTCCAGCAAAGCCTGATTTATTTCATTTACAATTAATTTTTAAAAAGTTTCTTTTTCTAAATCGACAGAGAGCAGCAACCAGTGTGACCGCGGATATCGATAAAATATACCTTCAGAAATATACCATCTCAAATCCAAATATACCGTAAATATACCAATGAAAAAACGAACTTAGCCGACTTAATACCCCTCTATTTAAACAGTACAACGTGTTGAGGTTTTACTGATTGTAAATTCACCTTGCCATCCATGCCATCTTTCGTTTGAATTTAAAAAGCACTATATTTGAAATTATCATTATTTTCGGTGGAATATTAAAATACCCCCTTGGTCTACAATGGGCTTAACGTTCTCCGTCAAGGAGTGGAAACCATATTCCTCGTTTTTTATATTCGATTTGATATTAATAGCTAGCTAAGACTTTCATACGTGGACACATAATTTTATCCGATTGATAGATCAATTTTCAACAAGATGTGCTAATTTTTACTACTCCTTTTTATTGTACTGTGTATAAAACAAGGTATGAAACAGTGGCAACGTCAGTGAGTATGGAATGTCACGTCATTTCTTACATGTTGCTGGCGTTTGAAGACTTGTTGCTTGTCGACCGGAGTATGGCCATTTGTATACCCTATTTCGTTATTTTAGTATGAAGGTACTGTTTCAATTCACTGTTTCAACCGATTCTTGGTCTCTGTAAACACATAAGAAACTGCAAAATTTCGTTGTGATAGCTTTAAACAGAGACTGGCTAGTTTCTTCAGATGACAAACATTTCCTCAATTCTATAATATCCTTTTCCCCAGGGTATGCGGAATGTTGCAAGCAACATAGTACGTGAGTATGCTGGGATGAAAAATCCATCGACGAAGAGAGGAAAATGAGAGCAAATATCCCACCAAACGGCCACCGATACTATCACTGTTGCGCGCCAAATAGAAATAATTTTAAAGTGAATAAGTGAAATGGCTATGAATTAAATAGATTGATGAAATTGATAAAATATACTCCAAATATACCTTCAAGTCAATATCGACGACCAATAAGTTTATAATATACCGTAAATGGTTAGCCTGGGGAGCAGATTGCCGCCAATGACTGTGCACTATCGATAACTATGTTTTTTTTGTGATTGCATTTCAGAGTGAACGGTCATGTCCCGCCTAAATAGCGACAACCCTGGACACCAGCTGTTGCTGTTGTTGATCGCTCTCAATTTTGTTGTCGTTACTTAATTGATAAACTTTTAGGGGGGCGACTCTCCAGATAACCTTCACTCTAAATTAATAAAAATTGACGCAAGTAAGTGCCGGCACAGCTGGACCGCCTCATTCACTCACATTCATTCGACCGCAGACGTCACAGTCTTATGATATTCCTATCAAAGTTTTACAGACTCAAATTTTAACTAAAACAAATTCAAACTTTTTCCAGTGGTTCGTTTATCGGCTCGTTTTCTAATGGCTGTCTGTAATCAAGATACAGCCAACTTTATCCGCGATGGCAAGAAGATCGTGGGAGTGGCGCTCAACTACATGTAAATCTATACATTGCTCTATGGGGTGCTCTAAATTTAGGTAATCTTCAACTTGTAACGTCCATGCAGGGACGTTGTGAAAGCCAGAAATGTGCCTGTGCCGAAGGAGCCGCTGATTTTCCTCAAGCCCACATCGTCTTATCTACGCGAGGGCCGTCCCATAATCGTAGGCTATCACCGAGCCAAATGAACGGCCTTCAACTAATGTTTCAACTTTGCTTTCCGTAGATACCCAAAGTGTTCTCCAAAGTGGCTTATGAAGTAGAGCTGGGCGTGGTGATTGGAGCACGGTGCAAGAATGTCTCCAAGGAGAATGCCATGAAGTATGTTTCGGGATATTGCCTGGCGTTGGATCTAACCGCCCAGTGCAACCTGGTAAGGATTCAATACTCTACTTACGTATCAGCGAGTAATGTTACATTTGCTTTAGGCGGCCGCTCGAGCTGCTGGCCATCCCTGGACATTGGGCAAAGGATTTGACACCTCAACTCCCGTATCGAGATTTATACCCTTCGATGACGTGGACGATCCCCACACGCTGCCCCTGTGGCTTAAGGTCAATGGACAAGTGAAGCAACAGGGTTGCACCGCGGATCTCATCTTTAAAGTGCCCGATATCATTTCGTATGTGTCCAAGTATATGACCCTGGAGCCCAACGATCTAATACTGACGGGCACGCCCAATGGCTCGGATGCATTCAAGGCTGGCGATGAGATCGAATGTGGCATGGCCGAGTTTGCCAGGCTGAAGTTCCAAGTGTGTGGCGAATAAATGGCAGACGACTGACCACATAGAACAAATATTTGTATGCTCTGTAAATGCTTTATGTTATGCATAATTTATTCTTTAATATTACTTCCTGCCACTCTTGACATCATCGCAGGCAAGCAAATATTTCCGCATCGCTGCACACTCGTCGGTGTTCTTCCATTTTGTGGCGGGACAATTCGTGTACACCTGTTCCAAAATGCAGGCGAGCAAGGTGGCAGGATAATAGTCGCATTCATCCTTTGTGTGCATCCATTGGTACTGCTGGGTGCGCTTTTGCGCTATTTCAATTGGCTTAAATGTATTAAATTGGCACAGAATTGTGATCCACACTTACCATAGTCCACGCAGCTATTCAGGCTTCTTACCATCAGTTGGGACATGTTCGCATCGTTCTTATAGCGCTGCTGGTAGGTTTTCTGCAAGGCTGCCACATTGACGGATCCATTCGTTAGTAAATATCCATTCGCCTTGAAGGCACACTCTGCTATGCACTGAAAATTATTTTCTTAAGTGTTCCGGGTACCATTCGAGGTTTACCCACCGCATGCAGTGCCACTTTATCCGATTTGAGATTCCGGGTCTCGCCAGTGTTCGTCGTTGTGGTGTTTCTGGTCAGCAAGGACTTGCGACAGGTCTTTATGGCTTTGTCGTCTCGCTGGACATCGCAGCAGGAGCTCATCTAAAGGAGAATACGAATTTTAAAAACCACAATAAAATCCTAAATGTGGAGTCTCACAAATTTAGGCTGTTTTGCCTTGTCACAGCTCGTGTAATTAAATGTGCTTGCAGTGGAGCACAAAACTGGCAAAATGAATAGAAGCACATATCCCAGGTACATTATTGCCACTCAAAATTTGTCAATCAAATGAACATTTTATTTGAACTTATATTGGACTATATCCAAACGGTTTCATTTTAATTTAAAAGTTAATGTTGCATAAAAAGTAATAACGTTGTGCCAGCCAGTAAACGAAATTTTTAATTTTCCATTCAAAATAATGTTGCACGATAGCACTACCGATAGCATCCGGTAAATCGGTAATCGTTTATCACACAAATAGGTCTCATTACTTACGTTTTACCGTTGGAAATATCAAATTTGTACGGGCGGAAAAGGCGCCAGCAGTATTTAACTAAAAAGGAGCAGCAATGTCCCAACATGGCAAGGAAGGAGCCACATTCTGAACCCTTAAGATAAGATAATTTACAAATAATAATTTAATAAGATAATTTACAAACAGTAATATTTTCCCAGCAAACAACACCATTTTCGACAACATTAGTGCAGTTTAGAAATAGAATTTTAAAATTTTCCCTATTGCTTTTTTTTTTAAATAACATTCACACACTCGGCTCTAATTTTGCTATTTTCAAAATACACCGCCGATAAGTTCCGTGAGAACATTGGGAATATTATTTTGTTGAATAGCTAGTAATATTCGACGGAATATCAAATTCGAGGAATATATTGGAAATATATTGGAGGAATATGTTGAAAATAAGACTGTATATTTCGGTATTTATTTGAATCGGGTATGAACCAATTACAAACATGTTGCTAATTTCATTGCACATACCCTGGGGGAAATAGTCATTCCATGCAGAAACTAGATAGTCTCTGATTTAAACGATATTTTGCAGCTCATCGTCTGTCTACAGAGACCAAGGACTGGTACTGGGATCAGGATTTATTTACAAACACCTAATCAAATGCATGAATAGACCAAAAAAAAATGCAATCTAAGACAAGGTCTTTACTAATTACGTTTGAAAGCAGGTTGTAAAACATCATCTTTATATAATATTCACGAAATAGGGTATACAAACGCCCATACCCTGGTTGACAACAAAGAGTCTGCAAATACCAGCAACATTGACGTCACAACCTGCGACATTGAACACTTTTAATGAAATCGTGTTTTTGTCAAAATAAAAAACATGCAAGTACTTAAAAATAGTTAATCTTGATCAAAATTGATTCAGCAATCATATAAAATTATCTGGGCAAAAATAAGAGATCTATTTAGCTGGGAATATTCGACGGAAGAAAGATTAACCAAGAAATAGTCGTAATAACCGGTTCACAACAATGAGTCCCATTCCACGCACACATACCCTGGGGGAATGGATGTTATAGAATTAAGAATATGTTTGTCATCGAAGACTCCGTAGGTATCAGGATCGAGATATATATATACAAGATACTAATAATATACTTGAATATGTCTAAAGAATATCAATTTGAGAAAAGGTCTTAATAAATCACGATTCATCTTCATATAAAATTAACAAAATAGGGTATACAAAGGCCTACACGCAACACAGAGACTCTTTTTGTGTTGAACTTTTTCGTTTAAATCTTTTTTTACAATAAATACAATAAAAGCAGGGATTAAAAACTATCCAATCTTGTAGAAAATTTATTCATCAATAGGATAAAATTATGTGAGCATGGCTGAGGGCTTTAGTTAGCCAGCATTATTCAACGGAATATCAAAATCGAGCAATATGAACGAATTTCCTTTTCCGTTTGTTTTGATTGACCTATTTCGCTACTTGCTTTTTGTTTGACTTATTTCGCTAAAACCTCTTTTTACGCAAAATGCAATAAAAGCAAATATTAAAAATAAGCCAGTTAAGTAGAAAATTGATTCGTTAATCGGTTAAAATTATGTGGGCACGGCTAAATGTTCTATCTGGCTTATAATATTTGACGGAACATTAAAATTAAGCAATATGGTTTCCAATCCTTGAAGGAGAACGATTAACCTATTATAAGCCAAGGGGGTATTTACATTTTCCACCGAAAATAATGAAAATGTATTCGTTTTAGCGCAGTTTAGGTGGAGTTCGTGGGGTTTTTTTTTGCAGTTAAAGGGAAGGATAGGATGGATCTACAAGAAGAATTTACAATCGTTAATAGTTTTCGCCATTTACCTCAAGTATCTGAACTATTTAAATAGATGGGGCATAAGTGGGATAAGTTCGGGTTTTCATCATACGAGATGGTATATTGTAGTTGAAGAGCATAAACAGCAATTGCCGTAGCAAGAAAACAAAGCAAGTATTTAAAACAAGCCAGTCAAGTAGAAAATTGATTCCTTAATCGGTTTAAATTAGGTGGGCATGGCTAAATGTTATATCTAGCTAGTAATATTTGACGGAATATCAAAAACGAGGAATATGTATAATGAACTTGAATTCGTCAGTATATTTACGGTATATTTTTAAAGTGAGACCGTATATTTTGGTATATTTCCGAGGGTCGCAAGGTATATTTCTTAGCGTCGCAAGGTATATTTCATTGATAATTCCGCGGTCACACTAGCAAGTAAATTTATTCGACGCCGCACGTACCGGGAGCATTTAAATAATTTTTTCTGTGGATTAATTTAACTAAAAAGGATTAAACATCATGACTGAACGCGAGAACAATGTGTACAAGGCAAAATTGGCTGAGCAGGCCGAGCGCTACGATGGTGAGTAGATGAAAAAGGCAGAAAGAAAAAATTTTCTCGTCCGCGGAGCGCCAACGTTGGGGAGGGGTCCGTTCCGTTGCGTCGTCGCGTGGTCGGTGAAAAGTCGGGGCGATTGTCCGCGTCTTGTCCAAAACTGTCCCTCGCAAAATCAGCGCAGAATTGTTAGCTATAGTCGCAGACAGTGGAAAAATTGGAAATTTTCAATTTGGCAAAGACATTTGTGTAGGTGCAGCCGCTGAAACGACATAGCGTCGCGTCGCAGCGCCGCCGCTGCTCGCAGCCGATGAGTAGTATTTCTGCGAAAACGAAAGACCGAATCAAGAGAGAAACGACAAGAAGAAGAGCGCAGCGCTGTAAGAATGGCTACAAGAAAGACGAGACGAAATGGAGAAAAAATGTAAAACCTGATTTTTACCGGCAAAATTTCGCGTGGTTTTCTCGCTGGCTTTTTGCGAAAAGAGAAAGATTAAATTGCGTATTATAATTTACAGTAAGGTGGGCCAAATAGTATAGTTATCGCGAGAGGGGGGGCCTCCTCTTTCATTTCGAGTCGAAATTTTGTGTATTTAGTGTTGCGAGTGAGGGCTGCGCGGAGCGGCGCGTTGCTAAGGGCTGTTTGTAGTAGTAGTAGTCTGTCGGTCGTTGTTGTTGTCAAGGCGAATCTTTCTGGAAGGAAACGCAGCGTCGTACACATTTATTAATTATATTTAAATGTCGGACGGCCGCTCTCCACGCCCAAAATCAATGGTGGAAAAGCATTTTGGGGGAAGGAGTGGGTCTGTCTTTTTTCCCCCACCATCTCCCCATCCCTCATTATTCGTATAAATGTGCTTGTCATGCGCAGCAGCAGCAGCGGCGGCGGCGTCGTCGTCGTCGTCATGCGAAAAATCGATGAATGAATCGATTGTGGTCCGTGCGACGCAGAGTTGTCGCCGGCTACTGCTTTTCCGTCTCCCATTTTTCTCCCTTTCTTTATTTATGCAAATTAGATGCGGGGATAGTTTATTATATTTCGTTTTTGGCTTCGACGCTGAAATATTAGTCCAGCAAAGTGGCAACTCTGCCTGATAGTGCAGAAGAAAAAAATTTCTGTTGCTTTTGCATTACTCATGCTCACGCGCATGTGTGTGCGTGTGTGTGGGGTATGAGTGTTCGGCGGGGGCTTTCATTGTGGCTGCTTATTTAATTAAAAATACTCCAATTAATTAAAACGCTGCTCAAAATGCAAAGAGAGTAGAGTAGAGCAGGATGAGAATAGAACAAGCGCTGGTGGCGGGGGGAAGCGTATTTGGCGATTGCGAAAAAGCGCGCGCTTAGCAATTCCCAAATGCTGCTGCATGCGTTAAAACGAGATAACTAGAGTGTCGGAGTGGTGTCGGCGACGCTGCACAGTGCCTGGCAAAAGTTGGCAAACAATGTTCTCAGCCGTTTTGGCCAAGTACATTAGCAGTAATAATTGCAGCAAAGACAATGGCAATTCTCCTGATAATTGCCTGCAAAACTGACAACATTAACGGGCGGCGTCTCTTTATCGTAGTTGTTGCTGCCGTGTGGCTGTTGCCGCAAAGAAGTCAATCAACTATTAGCAGCCACTGCGCACACACACACACATCCGCATGCATAGATGTTTTTGTGTCTGTATCACATGTTTGTCTTCTTATTTTCGCCTGCGTACGCTCCAAGGCAGAGTATACGAGAGCTGCGACTGTATATGTCAGTGCCTGTGTGTATTCATGGAGCACTTGGGGTTGGCCTTGTCGCACTCGGACAGTTTTGGCTGGGGTCTCATGCTGGAACACCAATACAGGCGAAGCGAGCACAGGCACAGGCTAATGCCGCCACCAGCCGGCAATGTCTGCGCCCCCAATCTGAACTTGCCCGTTCTACCCTACCCCCCCTCCCCCACCCTTTCCATATACACATTAACGTCAGCCTTTAAGTGTGCTTTCTCAGGTGCTGCTGCTCCCGCCCCTTGCCTCTCGTCTTGTTCCATCTACATTTTTTTCGAGGTCGCGCACTGCTTTTTCAGTTGATGTTCTCTCGTCAATGTCGTCGATATGCGAAAAAAGAGCATACATAAAGTTGATAGATGAGCGGTCATAGTTGTAAAGAGAACTGGGGCCTGGGTGGGGTGGAATAGGGGGAAAGGTGTGTTTTGTTTGTCTGCTTTTTGTTGTGTGCACCATTTAACTGCTGGTCAAATGGTCGGCCAGCAGCCCAATGATGTCTCGGTCTGCTGTTAGTTTTTCCTTTGTCTAATTACACGATTCTTTACTGTAACGGTATGTGCGCATGTTTTTTCAACTGCCGCTGACGCGGCTACGGCTGCTGCTGCTGCTGCTGCGCCCTTATGTCACAAATAGACACACCCACAGGCCGTTGATAAGGGTGGGAGGGAGAGTGAGATAGGGAGGGAGCCAACCACCTCCTTCCTTCCTCTCTTTTATTCAAAACTTGCCTTCCTTTTGGTCCCTCTTTGCCTTAATCTTTCATTATATTTCGCGTGACGCCTGCCGTTTTTGGTGTGGGTGGATTGTATGTACATATAGGTGTGTGTGGGTTGATTGTGGGTGGCGGTTGGATTTATGTGGTTAGCTCTTCCTCCCGTTCTTTTTTCGGCTGCATTTGATTTGTCATTTCATATTTTTGGGCCGCCTTTATTGATTTTCGCTTTATACGCTACGCTATATTCTCCCTCGCGCATGTCTCCTAATTCGTAGTAGATGTTGCTGCCTGACTGAGCAACATGTGCTGCAGCAAGATGGATGGATATGATATGCCCCCCTGCCTATCCTATCCATCTCCCACCCATCTCTGAATGTATGCTGCCCTTCCTCCGTTTTCAAGTTCAATTTGCACGTTCTGCCCGTGACAGCCTTGGCGGTGTCAGTGTTGTAAAGTGCAATGTACACACATATATACACATGTACAATGTACGATGTGCCAATGCCAACAACCGTTTTTGAAGTTCAACTGAAACGGCAGCGCCAGCCACTACAGACGGGACGCATGAATCATGCAACCATGCCAACTTTATTTCCAATTTTCACATCTACGTGCCACACAACAACAGCAAAATGTCCCGCTGAGCGTTTGTGTGCGTGCGTGCCTGTCTGCCCATTCTGTGACTTTGGGAGTGCGCGCTGCCAGTGTGTGTGTATATGTGGGGCGAAATACGTCAGCAGCCGATGGCGGGTAGCGGGAGCGAGGGAGCAGACACGAGGAGCACACACACATCGTTGAAATGCAAGCGAGAAAACGGCGACAAAAGCAACAAAAACAGTAAAATTACAATTTTGTAGCTCTGATTTTGTTTTGTTATCAACACTCACATAAACACTGGAATGAAATGGAATCAAGCAGCTTGCAACTGTCTTTCCCGGAGTTCCAGGCACGTGATTCATGGCACGGTTATAGGATGATGATGTTGATGATGATGGTGGGGGTGGTGGTGCAGGAAGAGGAGAGGAGCCAGCAGGAAACTGTTATCACAATGCCTGGTTCTGGTTGGGTTGTGGTATGACAGAATCGGCCAAAACAGTCCGAGTTATGCATAAACACCTATATCTCGATGACTTATATACCATTATATTTGGATTGGGCGTGTCGGCCGTGATAAGACAAAGCCAGACAGACGGAGAGGAGTGGGAGAGTAGAGTAGCTACCCAGGAATACTTCCTAGAGATTATTCAACTCCTTTCACTGCATACCAATCAATATTAACCGCTCGCTTTCTTCCTTCCGTTAGAAATGGTCGAGGCCATGAAGAAGGTCGCTTCCATGGACGTCGAGCTGACTGTCGAGGAGCGTAACTTGCTGTCCGTCGCATACAAGAATGTGATCGGAGCCCGACGTGCTTCATGGCGTATCATCACCTCGATCGAGCAGAAGGAGGAGAACAAGGGGGCCGAGGAGAAGCTGGAGATGATCAAAACCTACCGCGGCCAGGTGGAGAAGGAGCTGCGCGACATCTGTTCGGACATACTGAATGTGCTCGAGAAACATCTCATTCCATGCGCCACATCCGGCGAAAGCAAAGTATTCTACTATAAGATGAAGGGTGACTACCATCGCTATTTGGCCGAGTTCGCCACCGGCTCGGACCGCAAGGATGCGGCAGAGAACTCGCTGATTGCCTACAAGGCAGCTAGCGACATTGCCATGAACGATCTGCCCCCAACACACCCCATTCGCTTGGGCTTGGCATTGAACTTCTCGGTGAGATTTGGCCTAGTGCTCTGTACTGAAATTCTCATTGTTCACTTTTGGATTTTCTTGCTATTCCTCCACTCCAGGTGTTCTACTACGAAATTCTCAACTCGCCGGATCGTGCATGCCGCTTGGCGAAAGCCGCTTTCGACGATGCCATTGCCGAGTTGGATACACTGAGCGAAGAGAGCTACAAAGACTCGACACTCATCATGCAGCTTCTGCGCGACAACCTCACATTATGGACGTCCGATATGCAGGCAGAAGGTAAGCACCATAGCAACCCACCCTCTTGAATCTTTTAATTGACGATTTTAATTATTATGCTAAGAAGTAGACCCCAACGCAGGTGATGGCGAGCCGAAGGAGCAAATTCAGGATGTTGAGGATCAGGATGTGTCGTAATTTAAGTAAACCCCCGCCCTTCCATTTAAAACACATAATATACCTTCTAAAGTAAATATAATACCATATAATATATATGCATACATCAAACCACAACAACACGACAACAGAACAACAACAACCAGAACGAACCACAAAAGAGGTACCAGAAACAGCACTACAAAAGATCAGCAGCCGATCCTTTGGAGCATCGATAATCGACAATCGAGAAAAAACCGATCGATAATCGATACTTGGGCGTATTAAAATTCGCAGTAACAGAAATGAAACGCAAAAACTACAAGAACACTAAACCTAACCAGAAGCAGCGCCACAACACGGACAAGCACAAACAAGAAACACATTTGGGGCGGTGGCCTGGTAGTAGTGGGCGTGGTAGTTTGCAATGAAACGTATCCCCATTCCTCAGTGAAGGCAAGCGCGCTGGCATCCTCTCCCAACAGCAGCAACAACATCAGCAAGAAACAACTCTACTAAATTTAACATTTTGCATTCGAGAAACAAGGCATTATATTATATTTAAATAAATATTATATTTAATTATGAGAAGCAAAAAACAAACAAATAAACTTCATTTAAACCACACGAAAACACACGAAACAAAAACGAAAGCAGCAAGAAAAGATCGGAGTTGAGAAGCAAACAATCAGAAAAGAAGGCAATTTTCAAAGCGAGTGTAGTGGCATGCGCGCATTCATTTCGAAAAAAAAACTAATTCACGAGTTGGCATGCATTAATTTTAAAAAACTAATTCAGCAGCAAAACCACATCAAAAGAAGTTTAATAAAAAAAAAAAACACAGAAAAACAGCAACACTTAAAATACAACTTTAATTTTAAGCCAATAATAAAACGAAAAAGAAGAAAGTATAAAAAACCATTTAATAAGCGCAAAAGTAAAAGTAAAACATAAAAAAGTCGAAAATGTAAGGAAAAATACAGCAATTAATTTAAATTTAAAACAAATAATAAAGAAGATTAAAATGAGAGAGTCAAAACAAACGGAATAAGGATAGAAAAGAATGCGAAATAATGCTAAAAACTATATTAAACGAGAAGAGGGAATGTTAGTTAAGCGAAATTCATAAAACGAATTCTTAAGCTTAAATTTGTATGTATGTAAGTGTATTGTTCAACACTGACACTCGCACAGACACACACACACACTCACCTCACCAAAACACAGACACAACACACTCGCATACCGAGCCGTTTGTTTTCTCTTTTTGTGTGCTCTCTTACAACACCACTTATCGAACGGTACTTTAGTTGTTTTCCGTTATTTGCCTTTTTGCTTCCTGTGTTTTTCCATTGCAATCGCAACCAAAAGTTTTCTCATCTCTTTCCTTGCGCCACAATGAAAAAATATTTAATAAATATAGAAAAGTATTTGTATTTGTAGTTGCTAAATACAAGAAAAAAACGATACAAACAAAAAAACACAACGGTACATATATATATTGTATACATACATATATACTTGTATATTTTCTATGCCCTACCACTTATGTAATTTGTAGAGATTTCGAATTTTTCAAAGAGTCCCAAACAGCCCCCCTCACCATACACCTACCCAGCCCACTCCACTCCACTCCACTCCTGCTCCCCTCAGGCGACACAATGTCTGCATTTAAACAGAAAAGCCGAAACAGATGAAATATCATTTTATTTAGCCAAAAAACGAAAAGAACAAAAAACCAGCATTATCTGTGGGTTGTTTTTGCGTGCTTAACAAATGGCAATACCAATACCAAACCAAGAAAAGCTAGAGGAAATGTTTTCGCACGAGCTTTTTCACAGTTCATTTTATGATAAATGAGGCGCGCAGAAAGTCTGGGAGCGAGCGGGAAGTAGACTACACAGCAAATATTTCGCAGTCGCTAAAGAGAAAAGCCTGTGCAAAAACTTAATTAAGCATAAATCAGGCAGCAACAAGAACAACTACAGCTAAAATTCTTGAACGGAACAGCAACAACAACAGAAACAACCAGCAGCTAAACTGACATTCGTATTCATTTCAAATAAAAATCATTAAAAAAAAACAACAACCACTGGGCATCACAATTTATTATTAATTGAATTTTGGATATCTGCTGGCGCGGTGGAGGGGGAGCGGAAGTAGGGTGCGGTGTCCAATCAAGGCAAGTGAGATATGATGAACAGATACTTGGTTCTATCAGCCCCGAAAGTTTTCAAGTATGTATATGATTTTGATTGCTTCCGAGGGGCACTGCTGAAGGTTAACAAAATCGGCGACTGCTTTTTATTTTCCGTAAACTGTACGGAAAAACTGCATTCCACATTGCAGTATCGACCAACAGATTCGACTGCATGCCGCCACACATTGTTTGAGGTGAAAGATTTGTGTGACGTCACGCTAAATCGAACTGTTGTGCTCGACCTAGGCATATCTGTGTGACGTCACGGCGTACTGAACTCTTGTACACCTTTGGCGCCACCTCAGACCGTCCGCACCGTGCTGATAAAATGTCGGCAGCGCACAGTGGAATTACTAATATAACAGGAAGAACAATTTAAGAAATCTGCGCAACTGAAAGAGCACGTGGAATTTGTTTACTAACTATCCCAAAAAAGAACATAAGTCCTGAAATAATTCTCAATGGATACAGCCAAACAAAATATTTGAAATGTCAAAAATGAAGCTCTTTTGGTAGATTGTTAATATTTTCCCACTGTGCAGCGTAGAAAAATTTGCTATGAATGGTTGAATTTTATCCAGCTAACTGTGGGACAACAGAAAAATCAGAAAAGAACGCCTCTGCGTCAAATCACAAGTGTCCACTTAAGCTCAATGTCATTTGGCCAGCACTTTCATTGGCCCGGAAGCAACAACAAATGTGGGTCTAGTGGCCATTGTTTTGCATGCACTGCGGCGCACAATGGAAATACAAATGCTTAGATATCTATATTTGAAAATCTATACAGAAAATGGGAAAAAGACACGGGCAGAGAGAGCCCAAGCCAGGCCAGGCCAGCGATTTAGTTGTGAAACGTTGCTCGAGTCTCGGAGATGGCACTGCAACTGCAAATCGAGAAGCTCAAAGGTTTGGACAACTATAAGGCCTGGTCGATGACGGTGCGGGCCTATCTGGAGTCGGAGGATTTGTGGTCTGTGGTGGACCAAGGTCCCGAGAACAACGAGGAGGTGAGTGTTGCTTGAGGAAGCCCCAATTTTAAGCCTATTCCTCGCCTGCTGAAACTCTGTTGCAGTCACTGCTCAAGGACAAGCGCGCCAAGTTCATCATACTCTGCCTGATCGAGACGAAGCTGTGCCAGTTCATGGTCAGCATCCGCACGGCCCGGGATCTGTGGAATTATCTGCGAACCCAGCACTCGCTGCGCTAAAACCAAATCGATCAAATTTCAGTCCGTATATTGCAAATATAGGCTTACAAAAGACGTTTACATGCCAATGGGAGATTCCTGGGCCTCAGGGAGTTCTATGATCAGAGGTTGGTCCTCGGGGTCTTCGTCGAGCAGTCCCTCAAAATACCAACCCAGCTTATTCTCAAGCCGCTTCTTCAGACGCTCGGCACTGACGCTCAGACCGCCCTCGTGCAGATTCACCAGAAGCTCTCGCACATCCTTAAAGACGCTGTTGTGGGGGCTGGGAACCATCAGTTCCTCCGGAAGGTAGGGCAGCTGGTGTGCCAGAACCTCGCTGTACTTCATGTAGGTTAGTTTGTGCTTCGACACCGCCGCTTCCGAGTGGGCCAGCAGGCCAAGCAGCTTGCGCCAGTGGGCCAGCGACTCCACTGAGTAGCCGACCAGAAAGAACACGTAAGCCAGTTGCAGCTCCTCGATCAGGGCATCGGAAGAACCGAATCTGTCGATCAGGTCATCCACAGCTGCAATGCAGTCCATGGCGTGACGTGACACATCCGCTGGCAGGGAATCGTGTGGGACGCGTAGCGGTAACGCACTGAAGCGCGGTGCTGTTCCCTCCACGGGCTTGAGGTTGGGCAGGAGTTCGCTCTCGTCCAGGAGCAGCCTGACGGCAGCATTGCGCTTCCTGCCGCTACTGGATGCGGCACCTGGCTCCCCTCGTGGCCTGTCGGCATCTGGGCAGGACTGGAGCTCAACGTTGGTGCGTATGGTGCCCAATGTAGGGCGGCAACGATCCACGCACGGCTCTGTCACGCTGCCTGTGAGATCCTTCCACGCGCAGACATGGCGGTAGTCGTAGGCAGCCAGCATCTTCTCCAGCTGGACCAGGTTCTTTCGTATACGTTCCCGCTCCACCTCTGGCTCGGCAATCTGTCGCGGTCGAAGCTCCTCGAGGTCGTTGTCCCACTCGCGCACAAGAATCTCGTTGGGATGAAAGAAGTGTACAAATCCGACACGCGGTGCCGCATCTCCATAGAGTCCCTGGGAGGCACACCACACATAGTGGACGCCAGGCGGTATCATCTTGACGCCTCTGAATTCCGGTCCAATCGTGTAGGCGCACAAATCAATGCCAAACTCTGTGCCCACTGGTACGCCGGCTATGACCAGGACTGCGCCATCCGCCAGCAGGCGCAGGGCCAGCTGGGGATCCATGTTCATGCTGGAGTTGTCTTTGTTCATTCTGGAATCTGCGCTCTGTGGTTTGTTTCAATTGAAAACGTTTGAAAGAAACTAATAACCAAAACAGAAACAGATTTCGATTGCTGTTATCGATAGCTGCAGCTAGTGGTGGGCTTTTGGCAATGTTTTTTTTGGCGGTAGGATTTTATTTTTGAGAACATTTTTAGGAATAATTATTCTATTGTTAATTTTAGTACGGATTAGTATTGCAAGCTGCGTTTAGTGCCGATATCGTCCAGTATTTGGCGTAGCTCCTCATCCTCGAAACGACCCTCCAGCGACGGTATCAATGCCTTGGCCTCCTCGGGCGCCTCCGGGCAAAGATTACCCAAGGCAGCCAGCTCGAATTTGTGCAGTTTCTTTTGCATTAGCAAGCTGGGAATATACAATAGGATATAATATAATAAAAACACTTGTTGGAATTTTCAATAGTCTACCTGCGAACGGACATGATGGTCTCCTTGTTCTTGAACTTGCGAAAACTGTCCGTGTAGGCATAGGTTTTCATAAACACCTCGGAGAACTCCTGCTCCTCGTCGGCAGATTCGTTTTGTCGCTTACGATGATCGAGCAGCATATGCACCTCCGATATTAGCAGCGTTTCGGCATTCTCAAACTCTGAAAATAGCCAACACCGTGGAGTTCGTTAGGACATTGAATGGCAGAGAAGAGATGCATTGTTGGTTGGCCAATTTACAAGTGAAACATTGGGGAAGAACTAAGGGCTAGCCATAGGACGGGGGCCTGCTGATGTGGCCATGTTCCAGCAGGAAATCATAGATCTGACGGGTCTTGTTCACGTCGATTTTGATCAGACGCCGCGCATCAGCCAGACGTAGATGCCCAAGCTTCGCATGCTCCGAGATGAGTTGATTCTTGAAGTCCAGATATGACTGTGGCACCAGACGGACCACACTGCAAAGCTTGCGCTCGTCATCGTCCAACTTCGAGTAGCCAGGAAGATCTGAAGGATAAATAAGAGTTTTATATCGTAATAGCACCCTATATGTCCGTTAGTTACCTCCAACCTCCATAGGACTGGCCTTCCGGCGCGTATTCTGATAGATCTTCGACCCGAGACCCGCGGACAACTGTTCAGCGTTTCCAAAGTTCCTGCAGTTCTGCACTATTTGCTGCAAGTCAAGCGCATTGATCTGCCTTTGTCTGGCGTACTCTCGCTGTGACTCCTGGCGCTGGCTGAGGAGGCGTGCGTATCGTGCCCCACCGGACAATGTGCGGATACCCTGCTGGCGCAGATCGTACAGTTTGTACAGACGGTTGTGCAGTTCGCGAAAGTACCGCAGCGACTCCACCAGCATATCGAAATGCATGGGTTCGCACAGCTGCATGAAGCCCAGGAAACGCATGCAGCTGGCATCGCTACTGAACGCGTGCACATATTTGGAGATCCAGCTGACAGTGCGATTGGGCATGATGAGACCGTGTTGACGCATGATATTGTAGCGACGCCTCCGTTCTCTGGGAGATGGGGGCAGCATTATTATCAGATCTTGGTTAAACAGGTAGGATTTGCTTACCTCAAGCGATTGTTGTATGCACGCCACAGTCCCAGCTGCAGCCCCTCGGTCAGCTCTCTTTCTGCGCTGCTTTCCTCATGCTGATCCTCGTTGCTGAAACTCTCCTGCGCCACCATAATGGAGAGAAGGCTCTCGGCGGACGTGTCGTAGGGCGTATCAAAGTCGCCGCGCGCACTGCGATAGCCTGCACTAAGCTTGAACTGCATGGAGGCGATGTCGTCGTGACGCGGCGGGTCCAGGCTGCGCATCTTGAACACATACGGCATCCGCTCTGGCAGGTAGATCTGCCGCGAGTGCTGCAGTCCCAGCAGACGCTCAAAGATCCCCCCAAAGTAGCAGTCGTGGTAGTGACGGCGAATTTCTGCCGTGCTGTGACGCTGGCCCAGAGCATGCGAGACCGCCTCCCAGTTTCCATAGCCCTGCGTACGCAGCGTTTGCAGCAGGATACGCTCGTCCTGTGCTGTCCAGTCGGGCTCGTTGGCAAACACGCGGATGTCGCCGCGTACTATGATGTAGGCGTGGCAGTTGCGATGCGTGGCTATCTCGCGGCCTCGGGAAAAGCACTGCAGGCACAGCAACGTGTCGAGGCACTCTGAGCATTTTATGTAAGGCTCGCTAAGGTGGCAGCGGCACGTGGCACAGCTGGGGCCACCGGCGTCGGCAGGAGGGACACTGCAGTTGCTACTCTGATCGCGCGCCCTTTCTTCCAGTTGATCCAGCTGCCTGTGCAGAGCATTTGCCTGGTAGAAGACTGTGGTGCACTTGGTCTGGTCATCTGGGCGGGCACGTTGAAACTTCACCGTCGAACGCTGGACCTGATCGGCTATGAGTTTGTCTAAAAAAGGTCATTCAATTGGGTAAACATGTGTGAGGGGTGCCCACCCTAGTACTAGCATTTAGACCTACTACTAGTTTCACTTGTAATTTGGGAATGCGATTAGTTGCAGTTGTGTATATTACCTTTGGGGAACTGCAGGTCGGCGGCATCCTCATCCACCATGTCCACGGGGTTCATAAACGACATTTTCTGCTATTATTTAATAGAAAAGTTGTACTTTTTAATGAATATTTGAGAAATGCCGCTTTTTTTGCTCGAAAAACACTTAGTGATGGGCGTAGAACGATAACAACTGTCACAGCCATTCATCGCTCTCTATTGATATGGCAACTTTGTTGCATTTTATTCCTGCACAACACTGGCTCGCCCACACATTTAATAAAATACAAATCGCGCTCATTTTATTTTCTTCAGCTAGAGTTTTGGCCAAAGTAATGAGCCAAGAACGCAAAGAAGGTAGATCGTCGCCGCCATATATTGATTTCTTTGAAACCCTGTTGGTTGAGGAATTGGCGCTGGAACCCAACTACCTGAAGCTCCACTACGGCAAGTGCGCAGTTATAGGACGACTCACCGTGGTGTCGGATAAATACGGGCTCGAAAACGTGCGTGTAAAGAGTTTGCCAGAGTAAGATAATGCATTCTTTAGCCGTGAATCTGTTGAGACTTCGTAATTGCACAATTTCAGGGAGTGTTCATTGCCCGAAGGCATTCTGTCCGTGCTGCTGCTGGGCCTGGACATCGCCAAGGCCAGCGAACTGAACCTGAGCAGCGGCTGCTATTGCATTGTGCGAGGCGAGGTGGTGCTGTGCTGTGTACAGTTCCCCAACAGTCCCACACTGACGACAGGCGGTGTGTTTAACTTGTTGCAGGCTATGGGCGACGACGAGGCTGCCCGCAAGAATTATCTGGAAGAGCTGCATAAGACTCACATACCGGCTATCGACGTGTGGTTCGCACAGCCCGTCGAAAGTTTCGAGGAGCTCATAGACCGCAGGCTGCAGATCAAACAACTGAGTCTCCACGACAGCCAGTGAGATGAATACACACTACCTGACATCATCGCACACCAATCCACAATTCTACATATTCACACAGCTCTTTGAGGCTAGACACACGGGTGGCCCGCCTTTCGATCTGAGCAGCAACTGGACCAGCATACAGGAGGAGAGTTGGCTGGATTTCTGGCAGCGCGAGGGCCACCAGCTGCTGGAGGAGAAGTGGAACAAGAGGTTTCCCGAATTCAAGGAGATCGTCGACGTCCGTGACGAGGCGGAGAGAGTATATTGGCAGGCGCTCTGGGAGGAGCATGTCAAAGACCTGGGTGCTCGCTTTTGGCACATATTCAGCTGCGCCTTTGAGAACTATCAGCACGAGCTGTTGAAATCTTTTGGTTCCATCAGTACAGAGGATCTTGAGGAGATTGAGCAAGAGCTGGAGCAGCTAGACGTAAGCGGAAACCAGCCGAGGTATAAGCGGAAGAAAAAGATCGATGCGAAAGAACCCTATTTGACGGCCAACGACGACCCCGAAGATATTGAAGAGGAGGAGCAGCGTAGACTTCTCGGCCTTCCAGCAGCCTTTGGCGCCCAGGCCAGCCACTTCATACGGCGCAAGCCAAAAGCAGAGTCTGTGGTTGAGCAGTATTTCAGTAGTTACGGCGACTCGGACAACATGACCAGCGAGGAGGAACCAGAACCCCTGCACGGCGTGCAGAGTGGTTTCATCAAAAAGAAAAAGCCAAAGAAGAAGAAACCCAACCCAAGCGTGGATCAGATGCCAGACTTCATGAAGGAGAATAAGAGCAAGCTGTTCAAGTACTGGCTGAAGCGCTTCTCCCTATTCTCCCGCTTCGACATGGGCATTCGCTTGGACCGCGAGAGCTGGTTTTCGGTGACACCGGAGAAGATTGCCAAGCAGACAGCCCGTCGTGTAGCCTGCGACGTAATCCTCGACGCCTTCTGTGGCTGCGGCGGCAATGCCATCCAGTTCGCCCTCACCTGCGGCCGGGTCATTGCCGTGGACATCGATGCAGAGAAGCTGGCGATGGCCAAGCACAATGCTACCATCTACGGTGTGGCTGATAAGATCGAGTTCATTCACGCGGACTTCCTGCAGTTCGCGCCCAGCACCAGGCTCCGTCCGGACGTGGTGTTCTTCAGTCCGCCCTGGGGCGGTCCCAGCTACCAGAAACTGGCCACCTTTGACATCGAAGAGAGTTTGCTGCCAGTGGGCGCCAGCCATCTCATGCAGCTGGGCCGTCGCCTCGCCGACAACGTCAGTTTCTTTCTGCCCCGCAATGCCAGTATGAGCCAGGTGATTGCCCTCAGCGGCGCAGGACAGCAGTGCGAGGTGGAGCACAACTATCTGGACACGCGTCTGGTGGCTCTGACAGCCTACTTTGGAAGTGGGTTGATCAAAACTCAGCCGTGTGCCGCAGAAGGAGAAGTGAATACATCAGAGAACGGTGTAGACTAGGATTAAGTATGATCAAATATTAGAAGGCTGCTGTAGGAGAAGTGAAACCAAAACTCTGACGGTTGCTGCAGAAGGAGCAGAGAATCCACCGGAGAAGCATGTAAATTAGTATTAAGTATAATCAAATCTTAGAAGGATGCTGGAGAAGAAGGCAAGAAAACAGAGTAAACTGTTGATTTATTTCATCTCTACAGATGATATAATACGGGTAGTACTTTAAGATGAAGGCATTTCGTGTTGTTTGTTACTGAGGCACAAATTATTATAGTAGTTGCACAAGAACTCAGTCCTTATTCAGTGTGAAGTGAATATTTTCAGTTATTTGAACTTTAAGTAGTCTTTAAGTAATTAATGCATATTCCTTGAATACTGAAACCATTATCGATACGGTTTTAAAAGGTAACCAGGCTTATTCCTAATTTCTCACCAATGTGAAATGAATACTTGCCTTCAAAAGTATCATTAAAAAAAAGTTTAATTGTTAGTTCGTGTGGATTAATGTCTATATTCGAATAAGAAATGCATTACACTAAAAAGTCTAGCATCTAGATGTACCAAAGTCTTGTAATCCAAGCACCAGAAGCACAAAAACTCGTATTTTTTTTGTTTTTTTTGGTTCTCCCACATTTGTACCTTTGTGTGTTTTGTCGTAAGTTTGCGCCTCTGTCTCTACCACAGGCAGAGGATAAAACTGGACTAATGAATAAAGTCACATCCTATGTAACACACAATGCGCACGATTTGTCCTTTCGTCCAACCCCTGCCCATTCCCATTCCCATTCCACTGCCCCACATCCTGGATCCATCCGCACTCGGATTGTTGCCAAGTCACCGCCAATGTCAAAAGAGTCCCAAGCTCTTTAGCCAATTTAGAGAGCTTAACAAAAGCTCAACTGACCAATGGTCATAACCATAACGCACTCCATCTACCCTCTGCCCACCCACACTATACGCCCCTTTCCATTTCCCTTTTGGACTTTTAATTAAAAAGCAAAACGAAACAAAACGTGCATCAATTTTTAAGAACTTTGTAAAACAAGTCTAAGCCGGAGACGAAACGGAACGGAACGGAGCCTGGGACCCAACCAGAGCCCAGAGCCGAATCCTTAACCTGGCAACGCAGAGCGGTGGCAATTAACATGTGCCTGTCACAGCAGCTTCGTTTCTCCTGAATTCCATCGCAGACACAGACACAGAGAGCCACAACGAACGGGGGACACACAACAAACACAACATAGCACAACCCTTTTCCTGGCTAACAACATACTTAGGGCCCCTGCCTGGGGGACGGGCAGGGGGGTGGGGCATTTGCGGAATTTATAGCTGGAATATTTTCCCCCCTTGTTCGGGGCTTGGCTTGTGGCAAGTGGCTGCTGCTCCACCAAACTGCTGCAATTAGTTTGATTAACTTATTAGTGTGCGTAGCGGAGACTTGAGCGAAATTTAGAGCATACTTTTCAGCGCTGATTTGTGGCCAAATTGAGGAAGAGCTGGGCCAAGAATGGCTATAAAGATGGTTCTTGGGTGATTTGTTTTACAACTGCCAGTAGAGTATTTTTTGGGGATAGCTGAAGACAGTTCCTTCGGCAAGAGATACTATCTATTGGAAGCTTGAGTATAGGATTGTTTTATTAACTCTATAGTCCTGCACTATTTAAGGATTATCTATCGAAGGGTCAACTTATCCTTTTATTAAGGGGAAGTTTAATGCCCTGCGATTAAACGACAACCTTTTTATTGGGCAAATTGTTAATAAAATACCAGCAAATAGCCTGTCACGCGTCAGCCCAAGGATTATCAGCCACTTAAATCTAAGCGCTCCCCGGCCCGGTTACAGGTTTGGTTTCTGGTCTCCGGTTTTCGACTCCGTCTCGCCTTCTCTATTATTAGATACGCGTAATTGTCGTTCTAACTGTCGTCGGCGGGGGTTGACAATGCCAAAAATTTCAATATCCTCGACTGGCGGCCTATAAAACGGCCAAGCTCTTTAAATATATAGAAATATATATTTTATTGGAAGACAAACACGTGTTCGCAGCTCATCTCGATCCAGTGTTCGGCCAAGTGCCGAACAACAAAAAAAAACAAATTAAGTCACCCTTTTATTACGCTATTTCATTTGCAGCGTAATGTTGTCAACCTTCCTGACAAATGGTCACCCAAAACAACGGAGCAGCCCAACCCTCCTCAAACCTCATCCTCCCCCTCCCTGGCGTACCCCTGGTGTAGCTGCATGTTTGATCTGTAATTTGTGCCACTTGATGAGAGAGGACGAGGACGGGGACGGGGACGGGGAGGCGGAGAGTCGCTAAGCGGCGGGGTGGTTTATTTGTGCCACAAGTAGCGACAATGCCGAAATGCGATTACGCCGTAAAGTCCATGGGAACACTGTGGAAAATGCGATTGTTCAGCTCCGGCTGCAGGTGCAGATTGCAGGGTAAGGGGGATGGGGGATGGGTGATGATGGGTGGAGCAGAGTGACGGCAGAATTTCCAATAATTGTCCAATGATTTATGATGGATTTTATTATCCGCTTTTCCGCTTTTGGTTGAAAGTTTAGCTTTTAACATGGGATTGGGTTAGCTATATGGTATGTATAGGTATTTCTGGATAGCTGCAAGGTACTCCCTTCTTTAAGCAGTCTCGAAGTATAGTTTTTATGGAATCTGAAGACACACGTGGGGAAAGAAACTTTCCCTAAACATTTTAATGGAATAAAATTCAGGGAAAACAGGGAAAAATTCTTATAGCTACCCAAAAACAGGTGTGTTCATGCAGAGAGACCTCCGTTCACAGAGAAAGTTTCCCGCCCCCAATGTATCCACATTCCTACTGTCCTCCTGCTTAATTCCAACAAAATGGCGACACATTTAACTTATTGATTAACCGTTATTCATTTGGTGGCAGCCATTAAAATTAATAAACGGTACAAGGGCACAGCGTTACAGCAAGGACTCGCAACAGGGACAAGCACCACCAGGAAACAGAAAACAGTAAAGGACCAGCAGCAGACAAGTGGAAGCGAGATACCAGTTTTTCCGCCCACTTTGCCCATTGATGGGGCAATAAAAAAATCTCAAGTAAAGCGCAAAATAAGAGCAATAATATTTAATAAATGTGCACGTACACACACACACACACACACACTCAAACACACGTGCAGGGTGGCTCACCCTTCGGGTAGGGGGGGTGGGGATACAATATTTATATGTATATGAATGTTCAGGGCTGAGCTGATATTGTGGTTGAATGCGAAAAAAAAAACCATAAATAAATATACACACAGCCGGGAGCAGCAGCTATCTGTTTCACTCCCACACACCACCCACTCCCGCCCTTTGTATAGGTAGGCAAACAGTTTATATTGAAGCGAAAGGTAAGGCAGTTCCGATCGCTGGCTTCCGTTACTCTTGGAAGATCTATCATTCTCTAAGGGTTCAACTGAATCGGGGTTTGATGAGGAATAGATGGTATATCTTATGGGCTGGCCTCACCTGTTCTACAGACACACCTTGGCTCTGCCTGCTGTAGGTGCACGTGTGTGTGTGTGTGTGTGTGCCATGCATTTTTGGTTGAATATTTCAGAGCGAGAGAGCCGCAGAGCACAGCTAACTTACAGCCCAACCCTCTGCTCTGCTGTCCCACTCCCCTGCCACACAAATCCCCGCCCCCTCTTCAGGGAGCAGT